TTAAACTGGTAACAATAGATATGGAAATTGATAGTGTAAACACTTTGGATCCTGCGCAAAGGTACCCCCCCCCCCCCCCCCCCCTCACACACACATTAATGCAAAGCCATTGTGTAAAAATTTTAAAATAGAGTGTTTATTGGCCTTTTAGACTGAGGTAGTTATGTATCTCTGGTTAGAGTCTAGATCATTTATCACTGTTAGAAACAAGAAAAGTTGTAACGGCTTTGTCACTGCGACATCTCAATAGAAAGAATAGTGCTTTCCCAAGGCTACCTTTTGTCTGCACTCTCCCATAACTCATCTGGCAAACAGGAAGGAATCACATACAGGACTGGATGGGTGTTGACCGAAAACAGTTCCAATCCCATTATGCAGTGACAAATGACAGGGAAAGTCATAGGAATTCAACTCAATTCAAAAATACTTTATTAATCCCAGAGGGAAATTCATTGCTGGATTGCTGTAATCCTAAACCTATAGAATGAGAAAGAAACTTGGGAATATTAAGAGTGACAAAGTTGCTGAAGGGACTTAATCGGATGAAAACAGATTAGAGCTCTAAAACAGTGGTTCCTAACCTTGGGGTCCCGACGCCCACAAGGGGGTGCCAAGCCTCTCAGTGGGTCGCCAGGACCTCTCCACTTAAAGGGGTTAAAACTTCATTTATTACTTGTTTATAGCCTACATTTTGCTCACATTTTTTCATGAGTGAAAAGTATACTGATATTAAGACAGGAAATAATTAGTACAGAAAAAGTAACACACTTTTAAGAACATTTTGCTCAGCTCAATGTTTTATTTTCAAGTGTCAAAAGTTCATTAAAGATAGGACTGGTTGATTAATCACAGCCTTTACAGTAAATAATCTAGTATAAACAGTAAATACACATTTAATTACATTTTGCTCAGTGTATTTTTTATGTGTTAAACGTTTATTGAAAGGAATGATTGATTTATCAGTGTTTACAAGAAACAATGTGTTCAGAAAAGTAATACAAACTGTCAAGCACATTATGCTCTGTTTGGTTTTGATAATGACTTTGTTCTGTACTAAAGCCTGCTATTACTGTTATCTATTCAATCAAAGCATATTAAAATGTGCTTGATCAATTTTATCATTTCTTAATACTGTCTGTACTGGAAGGGAAAATGGGAGGGGGTCGTCAAAAATTTTACTGGTAAAAAAGGGGTCCCTTGGGAAAAAGGTTAGGAACCACTGCTCTAAAACATTGAAAGATACCTTTTCAGTCACGGGTGAAAAAGGGGAGAAGTTGGAAAGTATGGGAGACTGAACATGGCCCGATACTGACCACAAGGACCTCGGTGTTGACATGGACACTACAGCATCCCTTACATCTCAGAAGTTTTTTCTATTTTGTGACTCATTCCTAATTTTTATATCACATTTTTTTTAATTTTTTGTAAAAAGAAATAAAGAAAAAGAAAACTGGATATATTTCTGAGCAAATAAAGATGCATCCTGTTGATCTTTAATTTTCATGTCTTTGTCGTTGTCTTGTGTCTCTTTGTGGGTCGAAGGCAGGAGTGTGAATCGAAAATTGGCTCTTGTTAAGAACCAGTTCCCATTGTTTTCATTCATAGGAATAGTTTGCCATGTTTGCAAATGATTCTCTCATTAATTCCAGTTGGCACAATTGACATCACCACGCACATTGTGTAGCTTATTCAAGCTACGTTGTGTAGCTTACTCATTTACTCAGCAGAAAACATAGCACCTAAGCGGCACAAATGCTTGAAAGTTTGGTTATACTTTACAAGAAAGGATGACGCCAGGGCTATTTGCTATAGCTCTTTTAAAAGAAACTCATATCATCTTTATGCAGATGACATCCAGTGGCGGCTGGCCAGTAGAGGGCGATAGGGCGCCGCCCTCCCAGTTTCCTCAGTGTTTTTAATTTTTATTTAAAAAAATAAATAAATAAAAGTAACAATAATCACATATTCTAAGTTAATTGTGTGTTTTGTAACATAAATAAATCATATATATATATATATATATATATATATATATATATATATATATATATATATATATATATATATATATATTGGTCTCTGCCGGTCTCTTCCAGTCTCTTTTTTTTTTTTGTCTCTGCCGAGCGGTGGAGGCTGTGGGCTGGGTTTCAATCGCCCAAACAGGACGGGACCAGCTGTCCAATTGCTGACAAGAAAATCAAAGGGTAGGAATGGGAATGTATCCAATCAGCGTCAACGTTGTTTCAGAAGCATGATGGGCGATAGAGCTACCGCCAAAGGCTTTCGTTGGTGTTCGGTAGAACTCGGAGAGTCTCGTGACGCAGATGTAATGGACGCCAGTGAGCCTACAACCAGGATACTGGATCTCAGCAGCCACTGAATTCAGTTCGGTCTCTTCTCCAGTACCCGTTCGAGAGGAGAACTATGGTGGAAAAACATAATGTCAAAGAGCTTGGACCAGATCAGCCCGACGTAAAGATAAGCCAGCAGGAGGAGGAGAGAGGTAAACTGTACACACGAGGCTTCTGGGAAGGCTTGGCTAGCTGGATGCAATCACGCTAATGCGTTATTTTTGCTTTCCATGTTTGTTATTCAAAACAACAGTGACAGATGAGGCATGGATTGAGTCAGGAGTTACGGACATGAAACATTTTTCTGAGAAGGTGAAGAAACATGAGTTATTCCGGGCGCATATGGACAACACGGTGAAGCTAGCTATGCTAGGCAGAGCTAACATTGCCATGCAGCTAGAGACGAGCACAGGCTTGCAGTGAATAAACACAATGAAGAAGTGGATCAGAACCGGCACATTTTGTCCAAGAGAGAGATGTCAACACAGTGTATGAGCACAAGGATGACCTTCTCAGATTTTTCCAGATGATCAGAGACTCGGATGACTTTGATCCAATCACTGAGAGAGAGGCAGGAGGCTTTGTGAGAATGCTGGAGGAAGAAGATTTCGGCTTTCTGCTGGCATTGTGTCACAAGATCATGCCACATGTGGACATGCTGTTCAACCAGCTGCAGAAGAGGAACATTGACTCTGTCTACATCACAGGAGTCATCCAGAGCTTCACCAACAGCATGCAAAAGATCAGGTACATACTTGTTTATTTAATATTATTGTGATGAAATTCTCCAGTATGTTAGTTTCACAAACAGTAATGTGGATGTGGACCATTTATGGTCATGTTATTTTATGTGCAATTTAATGCAGTATTTTTCAACCTTGGTCCGCAAGGCAGTGTGCCAATAGTCAGACACACGTGGATTAATCCCTTTGTCCAATAATGTAAGACAGGAAATAAAAGAGCTGTGCTTAATTCAGGAAATAGTGAAGTTGTGCACAAAGCTCAGAAAGCACAAGTTTGTTTAAAAAAAAATAGCACAGCCCCACCAAAAATATTTTTCACCAGCCGTCACTGATGACATCCAACTGTACATCTCAGTTAAGCCCCAAGAGATGTCTAAGCTGAAGTTGTTGCACACCTGCTTAGACTCTGTTAAAAACTGGATGGTGGGAGCTTTCCACAGCTAAATGAAGATAAAACTGAGATCCTCATCTGTGCCCCAGACAAGCTGGTTCTCAAAGTCAGAGACTGTCTTGGTCAGCTTGCTTCTCACACCAAACCCTCTGTCAGGAATCTTGGTGTGACCTTTGACCCGGCTCTCACCCTGGATTCTCATGTCAGTTCTCTTGTTTGCTCTTCCTTCTTCCATCTCAGGAACATTGTTAAGCTGAGTCCCATTCTGTCCCGCTCTGAACTTGAGACTGTTATCTACACCTTTATCTCCTCACGCTTAGACTACTGCAACTCTCTTTTCACGTGTCTGAGCAAAACCTCCCTGAAACACCTACAGGTGGTTCAGAATGCCTGTGCTCAGATTCTGACCAAATCGTCAAAGTACACTCACATCACCCCGCTCCTCCTCCACCTTCAATGGCTGCCAGTCAACTTCAGGGTTCATTTCAAGATCCTGGTTCTGGTTTTTAGGGCCTTACATGGACAAGCACCCTCTTACATTGGTGATCTTCTTAGTCCCTACACCCATAGCAGGTGCCTGAGATCCTGTTTTCAACAGGTTATGTAGGCTAAAGACCAAATGTGACAGATTATTTGCTGCTGTGGCCCCCAGACACTGGACCTCTCTCCCACTGAGCCTAAGATCTGTGGACTCAGTGGTCTCAATTAAAAAACTGCTGAAAACTCACCTGTTCAAGCTGGCTTTGGTGTGACCTTCATCACTACTCTCTTCTTATTCACCTCTGTCTACCAATTCTGCCTTTCCCAGGATCCACTGATTATCTCTTTCTTAATAATTTTCTATTTGCCTTTCCTAACTTTTCCTATTTTTTTTTATATTTGAATCATTTAAAAATCTTTATTTTTTGATTCTTGCGAAGCACCTAGTGATTTTTATGTTGAGAGGTGCTATATAAAATATTGTTTCATCTTATCTCTTGTTAATACTGCAGGTAACTAATCAGCTAACACTACCCATCATGTTAGCATCATTTGCCTTCTATACACACCTCTACACTAGCAGACTCCAGTGAAAGTCTGACCAGAGATAAGATTTTTCCCATTTTGCAAAAGCTACAACAAGGAGATGATTCTACCTTCACGAGGAGCATAAAGGAGAACATTTGGAAAGATATTTCCAGCTGATACCAGGTACAATTAATTATTTCATAAATAAATTGAGAGTTATAATGCACGAGACAGTGTGCAATTGGTTCTTACCAACCATTGAACTACTCGGGAATTGGATTGATAGACAGAGTCGACAATGCCATTGATATAAAAATGTATCAAGTCCCACCCCTAATCAGAGGACTCTGAGGCAGCAGTTCATGTGGTGGACAGAATGAGAAAATAACAAGTGTGCATGCACAGTGATGTGTTTGCCAGATTTTTGCCCCGGGGTAAATGTGGGACAATGAAACAATCTATGAAAGATGGGTTCCAATCAGCTTTATAACATAAATAACATTGTGCATTTTTAAAGATTTTATTCAAAAGTACACAAACAGGACCAACATTGTTCCATAAGGCAAAGCTCAAATATTAACAACCACTCACATCAGACGACTTAGAATCTCACAGTTTATGGGTATCACTTGCAAATGATAAATAAAACCTTTTTCTTTAATATAATACATAATGCAAACAAAACATTTTTGTCATGAAAAAAGATTAAAAGACAAACATTTTAACAATCCCAGCCACATGTAGTTATTTTCATCTTCTGAAAATTTTTTCTTTTTATCTTATGATAAATATTGTCCATGTAAATTCAAAGTGAACCCAAGGAAGGTGCGTCACTCTCTGTTCACATGGGGGTTTATGGCTCTTGTGCCCAGTTCAAAGCCCAGCTATTAACCTCCAGGCCTTAGCTGATACCTGAAAGGACTAAACATAATGGTGTCAGTGGAAAGTGCTAGACTGCATGTGTCATTTTTAAGCTACCAGGTGCACCTTTTGCAAGGCTTTCTAATTTTGCTCTCAAACCTCTCTTTGGGGTTGTTGTGTTTTTGAAGCACCTTAATGATCACTACTTAGCAGCAGGAATACTGTCAGTCATTTCAAACACGCATGGACTTGGTAGGCGATGAGCTAGAACTGGGCACATTTTGACACACAAGAGAGGCGGGGTTGTTTTTGTGGCCAAGTTGCAATGACTTTGCAAGCCGAGCTGATCCAATCCAATCCAAGCTCTGGATGGGGAGGTGTGGCCAGCTCAGGTCACCTGAGGAACAATACCAGGAATGCACAGAACAATTTTGCTGCAAGAGATGATGTGAGACTTGTAGCCCCTCCACACTCCATCGGGTTTTCCTACAGTCATGGAGATGATATGAAACACACAAATAGTTTGTATTTTTAATAACTGAAAATAACTGAAAATGAATGATGTTAGAGAGCAATGTATGTTTGCATTTTCTGCTGGGAGTGAAAATACCTCTGAATGAAAGGGGTGACAGGTGTCTGGTCGCCTTCTGTCCTTTTGTACCTTTATTCTCTCACACTTGAGCGATTCATTATGTGCAGCAGAAGTTAAGGCAAAAATACAGAACCTGTATAGGCTGGTTCTTTCTTGCTTGAGAAAGCATTTTGTTTATAACTGAAAGTTCTTACATGCACAAACAAGAAGGTTTGAATGGAGAAAGATGCATTTTGGTGTAAACATAGGTAAGACAGAAGAAATTTATTTTTAGAACTGTCATTTCTGCTGTTGTTGCCTATCAACAAAAATGCAGAATAAACTCTTACACAGTGTTGCCAACTGTTTTTGACTGAAAGTAGCTGAAGTCCCCCCAAAAGTCACTAGATGTCGCCAAATGATGTCACACGCTAATTTGCATACGATACAATGACGTCATCTAGTTTGCGTGATGACGTCACCACGTTTGTGTCATGAACATCACCGGTCTTGTAGAGTAAATCAAATAAAACCTGCTTGATTTTAAAAAAAAATATTTAATTAATTTTTTAAATATTTTATTAAAATAAAAAACCCATAGAATACAAAACAGCAGCCTTTAAAACATCAAGGAAAGATGGCACAAAAAATGGAAGGAATATTTATATTTTGTCTGAAGAGAATGGAACTCTTGAACACAAAAATATTAAATTGATAGGAATGTATGTATGATTGAATTAAAATGAATTTTCTGTTGTAGTTTTCAAGTGTATTCTTCTGTTGTGATTCAGTGCTATATATTGACCTAAAAGATAATATATATATTTTTGTTTTTGTTTGTTTTTGTTGTTTTTAGTACTTTTGTGTAAAAAGAAGCAGGTCGTATTTAGTATTCAGAAACTTTACATGCAAACTGCCAATGACCTGCCAATGACTTACAGTATTATTCTGTTTTTTATAAAAGTTTTAAATGTGCTACGTTATTGAACTCATCATGGAGTTCCAATGTTCCTTGAATGCACCACAAGTGGTGCTAGAAGCCATGTGTGAGTGCGACGCTGGTGCCAGCTGAGGTCAGCTGCCGAAATGCGGCAGGATGGCGGAACGAGCGGTCGCCTTTATGTAGCTCCGGTGGCTATCTCAAATAATGGACTTGTGAAAACCCACAAAAGGTTTGATTGGCCAACGGAGGTAGCGTGATGATGCTGCTTGCACATGCGCAGATCATTTTCTTTCTGATCCTCTGGAAGGAAGGACGGTCCTGTCGCTTCAGATGCCTCGCTAATCCGCAGGTAAAGTCTGCAACAAAGTTGTAGTCAAAGTAGCTGAGGGGGGTCAGAAATGTCACCAGATTTGTCGCTAGGCGCTTTTTTGAAAAAAAGCCGTTAAGGGGGTCTGAAAAGTCATTAGAAATGGTGACAAAGCCGCTAAGTTGGCAACACTGCTCTTACAGAATAGGGCTGGGCGATGAATCAAAAATGTATCGTTATCAAAATTTCTGACTTTAACAAATATAATTTTTCCCATGTCAATAAGGTTTTGTCCAAACATAGCCAGGTTGTTTAAAAACGAATATCCGCCTTCCCAAAAATAGTGTCCACACCACTTTGTTTAAAAAAAAAAATTCCATCCACACAAACAGTGGTGTGAAAAACTATTTGCCTCTTCCTGATTTCTTATTCTTTTGCATGTTTGTCACACAAAATGTTTCTGATCATCAAACACATTTAACCATTAGTCAAAAATAACACAAGTAAACACAAAATGCAGCTTTGAAATTATGTTTTTTATTATTTAGGGAGAGAACAAAATCCAAACCTACATTGCCCTGTGTGAAAAAGTAATTGCCCCCTGAACCTCATAACCGGTTGGACCACCCTTAGCAGCAATAACTGCAATCAAGCATTTGCGATAACTTGCTACGAGTCTTTTACAGCACTCTGGAGGAATTTTGGCCCACTCATCTTTGCAGAGTTGCTGTAATTCAGCTTTATTTTAGGGTTTTCTAGCATGAACTGCCTTTTTAAGGTAATGCCCATCGACATTAATATATGGACAATGGGTTTCCATAGACTCCAATAACAAGTTTTTGTGCTAAAATGGGAGGTGGCCACCACCGCCATTTTGACCGTGTCACAGGTTACGTCAAGCCCAGACAATTCCATAAAAGGGAAGAGAGGTGGAGCTGAGGGTGGGGCTGTAAGGCTGGGATCAACTGACAACACCCGGTTGAACTTGCTACACGCTAACCTGAAGCTAACCCAAAGCTAATGCGGAGGTGGGAGCTAAGCTAACGGAGGTAGCAACCTAGCTACAACTGGAGTTAACTGTGCACAACACCAGAGCTTCTGAGTCAGAGATACGCCGGGCTGACCGCTGAGTAAAACCGGGTGGAACACGGAGGTCTCCGAGACCTCCACAAGCCGGCAGCTGCACAGCAGACAAGCGCTGCTGCGATCTGAGATGCGCAGAGCTGCCGCTGGGGAGAACCGGGTGGAAAGGTTTCCATCCCAGAGCTCCACAAGCCGTCAGCCCATGCAGCACACAGAACCCGCGATCAGACAGAGATGCGCCGAGCTGCGGGGAGAAGTGGCGTATTTTGGCGATTCTGGCTTGCCATAAGAACCAGCCGTCAGCCCGCCGCAGCACACAGAAGCCGCAATCAGACAGATGCGCCGAGCTGCTGGGAGAACCAGCCGTCAGCCCACCGCAGCACACAGAAGCCGCGATCAGACAGCGATGCGCTGAGCTGCTGGGAGAACCAGCCGTCAGCCTGCCGCAGCACACAGAAGCCGCGATCAGACAGCGATGCGCTGAGCTGCTGGGAGAACCAACCGTCAGCCCGCGCAGCTAACAGGAGCCACGATCAGACAGAGATGGACCGGGCTGCGGGGAGTAACAGCCGGCATTCCGGGTGGAAAACATTGGTCTCCCGAGAGTTCCACAAGCCGATAGTCGGAACCCAGCTCCACCAACATGTTATATTTCAACCCATTTTCTAAAGTGCAGCATTATGTTAAATGCATTGGGTTTTACCCTATTACATTTAAATGTCATGGTTAAACAGTACATGTTAAAATCTAAGCTCAGCTCGGCAGTGACCTAAAATACATAAATGTAATTTTACTTACTGAAAAAAATGAAGTGGAGACTCCTTGGACGCTCTATTAGAGCAATTAATGCCACAGCAAGTCATTTTGTCCAACAATTGCACAAATAATATCCAAAAAAGAATACACAAACACAGAGACTAAAATTCCCGGAGCAGTTTCCAAGCTAGACCGAGGCTCAGACTGAGGCCTTTCCACGGAGCTAGCTCTGCAGTCACGTGGGTCGGATGCTCATTAATTATACAGAATTTTAGGCTTTTAATACACTTAAACAGAAGAGTGAGAAAAAAATTCACCCCCCTCAGAGTTGTCATGAGTTTAAACTAGATAATTTAAACAAAAAACATGTTCTGGTACCAGGCTGTAAACATGTTTATTTCTGCTGTGAAATTGGTATTTTTAACATGGGAGTCAATGAGGATTTGCTCGCTTCTGACACCAGCCCCCAGCGGATGAGGGTGGAACTGCAATTTTTGGTACTTCCGGGTTGAGACCAATTTTAAAGCCGCATTGTGAGGGCCTGGTAATGCCGTAGCATCTCAATAGGATTCAGGTCAGGACTTTGACTAGGCCACTCCAAAGTCTTCATTTTGTTGTTCTTCAGCCATTCAGAGGTGGATTTACTGGTGTGTTTTGGGTCATTGTCCTGCTGCAGCACCCAAGATCCAGCTTTAGTTGACGAACAGATGGCCGGATATTCTCCTTCAGGATGTTTTGCTAGACAAAATAATTCATGGTTCCATCTATCACAGCAAGCCTTCCAGTTCCTGAAGCAGCAAAACAACCCCAGACCATCACACTGCCACCACCATATTCTACTGTTGGTATGGTGTTCTTTGTCAGAAATGCTGTGTTACTTCTATGCCAGATGTAACGGGACATTTGCCTTCCAAAAAGTTCAACTTTTGTGTCATCAGTCCACAAGGTATTTTCCCAAAAGTCTTGACAATAATTGAGATGTGTCTTAGCAAAATTGAGATGAGCCCTAATGTTCTTTTTGCTTAACAGTGGTTTGCATCTTGGAAATCTGCCATGCAGGCCATTTTTGCCCAGTCTCTTTCTTATGGTGGAGTCATGAACACTGACCTTAATTGAGGCAAGTGAGGCCTACAGTTCTTTAGAAGTTGTCCTGGGGTCTTTTGTGACCTCTCGGATGAGTTGTCTCTGCGCTTTTGGGGTAATTTTGGTCGGCTGCCCACTCCTGGGAAGGTTCACCACTGTTCCATGTTGTTGCCATTTGTGGATAATGGCTCTCACTGTGGTTCGCTGCAGTCCCAAAGCCTTTACCAGACTGATAGATCTCAGTTACTTTTGTTCTCATTTGTTCTTGAATTTCTTTGGATCTTGGCATGATGTCTAGCTTTTGAGGTGCTTTTGGTCTACTTCTCTGTGTCAGGCAGCTCATATTTAAGTGATTTCTTGATTGAAACAGGTGTGGCAGTAATCAGGCTTGGGGGTGGCTACAGAAATTGAACTCAGGTGTGAAACACCACAGTTGGGTTATTTTTTAAACAAGGGGGACAATTACTTTTTCACACAGAGCAATGTAGGTTTGGATTTTGTTCTCTCCCTATATATTATAAACCATAATTTCAAAACTGCATTTTGTGTTTACTTGTGTTATCTTTGACTAATGGTTAAATGTGTTTGATGATCAGAAACATTTTGTGTGACAAACATGCAAAAGAATGAGAAATCAGGAAGGAGCAAATCATTTTTCACACCACTGTAACTGCATAAGTCTGTTTAAGCACAGTCATAGGCATGCCAGACCTGTAGGTGGCAGTAGTTCCCTCAAACCAACTTCAACAAAACATGAAACATGGCGCATGGTGGTGGGCAATAACCATCTGTAACCTCATCCTTTGCCTGTGGCCTTCCACAAATAGCAATAATTCTGCTTGTAAAAATAAAGAGACGAAAAGCACTTGGACAATTGATAACATAAGCACAGCTGTGATGGCTTCCATGTTGCAGTGTAAACACAGATCGCACATGGGCTGGTCAGCATTTTTGTCGCAGACAGTGATGTTATGAAATTTAAAACTCTGATTATTTCTGTCCACACAGAAACACTTAAAACGGAGAAAACGCAAATCTTCACTTTGGCCAGAGCTTTCAAAAATATTTTTTTGTAGCATAAATCTGCGTTTTTGTGTAGATGGCAGGCCGAATCGTAGAAAAATGTCTTTGTTTGAGGAGATACCTCGCTACGTGTGGACAGGGCCTACATTTGGTAATTAAAAAATGAATAGATGTGTGGAGGTTGGTGGCGTTGATGTCACATGACAATGGGACTCAAGTAATACATGATAGCCCTATCTAGTGGACAACTTTATTTTTTGCGCATACGTGTAGCTATCGTCTATTTATTTTTATTGATGCGAACTCCTCAATGTACCATAATATTTATGTTGGGCCATATTGCCCAGCCATATTACAAGATGTGTGTATAAATAGCATTTAAAATTTCCATATTATATCATGAGCTTATCTGAGTATAATCTTTATAGGAAAATTTGATGGCAGACATTATGGTTTGCAAGTTTAGAAAAGGCACACGTGTAATAATAAGGTCTGCATTCCATTCAGACGAAGTTCTGCTTGTTTGCATTTATTTATTTATTTATTTATTTATTTACTTGCATTTCTTGCAAAGCAAACTACAGGTGGAAAAGTAGGGTTCCATGGAAAAATGGCAATTCCTTACTTCTATCTTTCCTGCTCTGTTTTACATTAACCTGCTTAACAAAACCTGGACTTCAGCTCAACCTCAGGGTGTCCCGGTCTCCTTTTATTCAAGGATATACATGATTTCGATGGGCTCCATGGTGATTGGCTCAAAGTTGCTGCAGTCACATGTGTTGTCCACCACCACCATGAAAAGATTACTGCTGGGGATCTGCTGAATCACAAAGGACCTGCCAATCACAACACAAACAGCCAGAAAGCAAACAAAGCAGATGAGGAGACAGAGAAAAAAAGTCTTGATAAAAGTGGTATTTTGTCGAGGAGTACGGTGGAATTGGTGGATTTGAGCATCTGATACAAATAGGGTTGTCACGGTAACCGGTATAGCGGTAAACCCCGGTAAAAAAGTTGACAATAAAAATAACCAGTTTTTAAAAAACTAAATTATCTCGGTGGGTTTACCGTGGCCGCGGTTTCAGCGCGGTGACCCTTACCAGCCACCGTCGCTTCAGCTGAAGTTCCCGCAGCGCGCACACGCACTTTTTAGTTTGCAACGTTACCAAAACTTTGAAGCTGAAATAATGGCCGAAGGAGGAGACAGCAGCGCCCAGGACATCCATCAGCCCTCAAAAAAGACTAACTCGGAAGTATGGGCATATTTTGGATTTCTGAAAAATGCTGAGGGACAGTTAATAGAAGACGGCTATCCCGTTTGCAGAACGTGCAGGAAACAAGTGTCTGCAAAAGGCAGCAACACTTCGAATCTAATGGCACATCTGCGTGACCATCACCCACGTCTCTACAGCCAGTGCAAGGTAGGTTAACAATAGCATTTTAGCTTAAGTGCATGACGTGAGGACTTTTGGTTGACGGAGAATGCAACGAGTCACCATATACTGCAGCCGCAGCGTCCTCTGCCAGCATTTAAACCGTGTCACGGACACCCTGTTGCTGGATGAAGCATTGTATTTGTTGATGATGAAGAGAAATATACAATTGGTTCCTTGTCATTGATTTGTTTACTTATTCAATGCCATTTATTTGGATTTGATTACATAGTGTAGTAGTTATTTTAGTAATTTGTTTAAAGTGGCTATTTATTTTAAATACATATTTTTTTAAGGTCGACTTGTACAGCGCTCAAGTCAAGTGTGGACTGGAGTTTTAGATTTTCATTTTGATAATGAAGAAAACAAGTATATGAGAAAACAAGTGGTGTTTCTTTGATTTGTTTACATATTGTTTATGTTTTGAATGTTTGGATTTGTATAATTTAAACCTGCACTGACTACTGTAACACGTTCCAGAAAAAGAAGCTATTTGTTCCTTTACTTGTGAAAAGTTGCACTTTTGCTAAGGCTTTGTGTTATTTTAGGTGTAATAAACAATGTTAAACCTTTTCAAAACTATTTCAGTTTGTGTAGAACAGGACTATCAATGCTTTCTGAACATACAGGTGCTGGCCAGTAAATTAGAATATCATCAAAAGGTTGAAAATATTTCAGTAATTCCATTCAAAACGTGAAACTTGTACATTATATTCATGCAATGCACACAGACCAATGTATTTCCGATGTTTATTACGTTTAATTTTGATATTTATAGGTGACAACCAATGAAAACATCAAATCTGGTATCTCAGAAAATTAGAATATTCTAAAGGCCAATGAAAAAATGTTTGTTTCTCTAATGTTGGCCAACTGAAAAGAATGAACATGAAAAGAATGTGCATGTATAGCACTCAATACTTAGTCGGGGCTCCTTTTGCCTCAATAACTGCAGTAATGCGGCGTGGCATGGACTCGATCAGTCTGTGGCACTGCTCAGGTGTTATGAGAGCCCAGGTTGCTCTGATAGTCGTCTTCAGCTCCTCTGCATTGTTGGGTCTAGTGTATTGCATCCTCCGCTTCACAATACCCCATAGATTTTCTATGGGGTTAAGGTCAGGCGAGTTTGCTGGCCAATCAAGGACAGGGATACCATGGTCCTTGAACCAGGTGCTGGTGGTTTTGGCACTGTGTGCAGGTGCCAAGTCCTGTTGAAAGGTGAAGTCTGCATCCCCATAAAGTTGGTCAGCAGCAGGAAGCATGAAGTGCTCTAAAACTTCCTGGTAGACGGCTGCATTGACCCTGGACCTCAGGAAACAGAGTGGGCCAACACCGGCAGATGACATGGCACCCCATACCATCACTGACGGTGGAAACTTTACACTGGACCTCATGCAACGTGGATTCTGTGCTTCTCCGCTCTTCCTCCAGACTCTGGGTCCTTGATTTCCAAAGGAAATGCAGAACTTGCTTTCATCAGAAAACATAACTTTGGACCACTCAGCATCAGTCCAGTCCTTTTTGTCCTTGGCCCAGGCGAGACGCTTCTTGCGCTGTTTCTTGTTCAAGAGTGGCTTGACACACGGAATGCGACACCTGAATCCCATGTCTTTCATGAGTCTCCTCGTGGTGGTTCTTGAAGCGCTGACTCCAGCTGCAGTCCACTCTTTGTGGATCTCCCCCACATTTTTGAATGGGTTTGTCGTCACAATTCTCTGCAGGGTGCGGTTATCCCTAGAGCTTGTACACTTTTTTCTACCACATTTTTTCCGTCCCTTCGCCTGTCTGTTAATGTGCTTGGACACAGAGCTCTGCGAACAGCCAGCTTCTTTAGCAATCACCTTTTGTGTCTTGCCCTCCTTGTGCAAGGTGTCAATGATTGTCTTTTGGACAGCTGTTAAGTCAGAAGTCTTCCCCATGATTGTGGTGCCTTCAAAACAAGACTGAGGGACCTTTTAAAGGCCTTTGCAGGTGTTTTGAGTAAATCAGCTGATTAGAGTGGCAGCAGGTGTCTTCTATATTCAGCCTTTTCAGAATATTCTAATTTTTTGAGATACCAAATTTGGAGTTTTCATTAGTTGTCACTTATGAATATCAAATTTAAATGTAATGAACATTGGAAATACATTGGTCTGTGTGCATTGCATGAATATAATGTACAAGTTTCACGTTTTGAATGGAATTACTGAAATATTTTCAACCTTTTGATGATATTCTAATTTACTGGCCAGCACCTGTATGCAACACCGTTTAAAAAATACCGCGATAATACCGAAAACCGTGATAATTTTGGTCACAATAACCGTGAGGTTAAATTTTCATACCGTGACAACCCTAGATACAAAACAATCTACAGGATGTCTTATTGACACCTGATGATGAACTCACACAGACACAGAGTCACACAATAAGAAGAAGATTTAAAATATGTACACTTTCTAGTTCTCTGTTTTCAGTCCATGGTACCATTGAAGTGTTTGAGGATATAACGCAATCCAACGAGACGCAAATAGGAACCACACTTTGGTGCTAAAACCTCATGTCTGGGAGATCAGGCATCGACTCAGCCTGGTGATTTATGTTCCTGGCTGAACTTTATGAAGAAAAAGAATTCATAAAAATAATATTTCCTTTCTCTCACTTCCTTTTTGATCTTTTACTTAATCCTCTCCAGAGGATATATAAGCACAAGAGCATGAGAGCTGGCAGATAAACGCTACCCAAATATCTACAGGAATATTCTCATTGTCACTTATTCAATACCACTTTAACCTGACCACTAACAGCCTCCAATCCTTAAAAAGTATCAATCTACCGCACACTAATACACACATCCCACTGTGACTAACAGCACCAACCAAAACAATCCAGGATATAGACCAAGCCAATTCCAAGCAGGGAGATTTAGAACATGCCAAGATTTTCATAATCCATTCTCACCCCTGTGCAACATCATGCTGGTCCAGCACTGCCCACTGATAAAAAACAGAGCTAGCATTTTTGGCGAAGAGACTTAAATGCATCCTGACGCAGCACGGCTTTTGGCCTTAAATGTACCCACAGTTGGGAAAGAGCTTCATATTCAAAGTGAACACATATACCCTGCACACACATGCAAAGATGAGAAATATATGCACAGGCACACAGCGACAAACGTCAATAGGCTCTCTAGCAAAAACTTGGCACAGATGACTTTGTCACAGCTTGGCCGTATAGTTCTGTCACCAGTAGATAAAAGCCATCGGACAAAGACATCTCATATGTTTTTCTGAGATTAAATTTAAGGTGAAAGAGGGACTCACGACTTTGTCAGTAACGCATCTACCACATGAAGGTGGGCAACAATTTTATTTTACATGTTTAAATCAAGTTCGGAGTCATTTATTTTGGTGAAATAACAGCATGTAAAAGGCCAAATGTACTTGTTTTTTATTACATGTTTTCAGTGGTCTATGAATGAATGGCTTGTGCTCTGTTTCAGGAACTAAAGATGAGCCAGATCAGAGTTGAGCGGCAGACGTCAGGATTTGGAGTCTTATTTCTTTATATTTGGACATCTCGCCTCTGATTGGCTAACAGAAACGCGACTCAACCACTGACTTTGTTTGCTCTACAACGTTGGTTTTACACTGCCTCGCCCAAAAAAAGTCACCTGGATTTATTTAAGCAAAAGGGTGCTAGCCTCCTGTTGCACAATTTCTGAATTGGCATGCATCAATCAGAGAGGGCATCTAAGAAGATTGCAGAAACTACTAAAATTGGGTTAAGAACTGTGCAACATTATCGAAAACTGGAAGGATAGTGGGGATCCATCGTCTTCTATGAAGAAATGTGGCCCAAAAAATACTTCATGATCGTGACTTGAGCGTTTGGTGAAATCAAATCAAAGACAAGCAACAGTTAGAACTTAGAGCTATGTTTAATAGTGAAAGTTAGAGCATTTCCACTAAAGGAACTCAAGGGATTGGGACTGAACAGCTGTGTAGCCATAAGAAAACCACTAATCAAGGAGGCAAACTGGTAAAAAGGCTTCAATTTGCTAGGGAGCATAAACATTGGACTAGGGAGCAATGGAAGAAGGTCATGTGGTCTGATGACTCCAGATGGACCCTGTTCCAGAGTGATGGTGCATCAGGGTAAGAAGAGAGGTAGATGAAGTGATGCACCCATCATGACTAGTGCCTACTGTACACGCCTGTGGGGGCAGTGTTATGATGTGGAGTTGCTGCAGTTGGTCAGGTCTAGGTTCAGCAACAGGATGGGCACCAATAATGAGGTCGGCTGACTACCTGAGTATACTGAATGACCAGGTTATTCCATTTTCCCTAATGGCACTGGGATATTCCAAGATGATAATGCCAGGATTCACCGGGTTCAAATAGTGAAAGGGTGGTTCAGAGAGCATGAGACATAATTTTCACACATGGGTTGGCCGCCACAGAGTCCAGACTTCAACCCCATTGAGAATCTTTGGGATGTGCTGGAGAAGGCTTGGTGTAGTGGTCAGACACTACCATCATCAATGCAAGATCTTGGTTAAAAATGAATGTCACACCGGATGGAAATTAACCTTGTGACATATAAGAAGCAATGCTACAGCGAATGCATGCTGCAATCAAAGCTAAAGACAGTCAGTGTTATTTTATACAGGCAGCGTATCTCCACAAATAACACAGACCTGAAAGAGTTATGTCATGTTGTGGAATTGCTAATGCTAACGGTTAGCTTTTACAGGCTGAGATTGCTCTGCTCTCTCCTGGATGCAAAATCAACAGCCTTCGCAGTCACGGGCCAAAATGGGTAAAGCCATGAATGCTACATCTAGAGACATTCTTTGGCTAATTTGCCTTAAATATCTTGTTCCAGCCAGAAAGCTGGAAAAAGATAAATTGGGTGCAAATTGTCAAAGAATTTAAGTTTTTAAAACAACTTACTACATTAAGCTTTTCCCAAAGCATTGTCACACCAATCAGGAAGTAATGGTTATCTGTAAATAATATTAACTCGCACTCACACACACACACACACACACACACACACACACTGGTCATAAACCAGTAAAGAATGCCTTAACAAGCAAGAGCTTAGGATATATTTCCTACAGCATAAAGTATGCACACGTGTCTGTAAAAATATGAAAGAAGGCTTTAGTCAGGCTGTAACACAAAGCAGATGTTTATCAGAGATACCCGCTATTACAAATGTGAGCTATAAAATTCCACATAAATGAAATAAAAACTTAATTTTACTGAGTCAGATTTATAGTATTAGAAAAAATAAATCATTGCAGGGCAACATGTCCAGACCTGCCTGCTAGTCTAACATCGACTGATATCTCTGGAGAAATGTGGCTGTCATGTTCCCCTGTGTGTGTGTGTGTGTGTGTGTGTGTGTGTGTGTGTGTGTGTGTGTGTGTGTGTGTGTGTGTGCGTGTGTGTGTGTGTGTGTGTGTGTGTGTGTGTGTGCAGGCACTTATGTTAGTGTGTTGAGGTCTGATTGCAACCTCGACTGGATTTTAGACGTGGCACCCATGGCTAGTGGTTAGTCCGCTGACCTTGGGGCTGCACTGGGAAAAACACACACATCCACGCACACAGACAGATTTCTCAGCTCTCTGGCCGCTCCACAGCTGGGAGCAATGAAGGGCCCATTGGAGGGATCCAGAGAACACCCCACAATTGCCTGACAAAAAATCCTAAATTGTTAATGAGGGACCACCACACTCATTTTCTCATTTGGAAGCTTTTTTCTCCCCCACTTCTCTCCTTTGTCTCCCTCATATATCAAACAGCAGGGAAATTATTATTTGGATGAGAGAATAACAAATAAATAAAACAACAAATGAAACATATTAGTGGACAAAAACAGGATAAGTTTGTTTTACTCCTTGTTCATCACTTTGGTCATCTTTCGTGCTCTTTTAAAATGTGCTTTACAAATAAAATTGGACAGGAGAAGATGGAACATAGTTTTTTATAACTGGTTGATAATTTACTGTGTGTGTGTGTGTGTGTGTGTGTGTGTGTGTGTGTGTGTGTGTGCGCGTTTGCGTGTGTGTGTGTGTGTGTGCGCGCGTTTGCGTGTGTGTGTGTGTGTGTGTGTATGCGTTTGCGTGTGCATGTCCTACTTGATACAGCCATCACAGTCAATATTGCCCATGTTTTCCTTGATGGTTCTCTCTGAGACGAAGGCTGGATATTCGGTGTCACAAGGCACTTGCATGCTCGGTCCTGCTGTCTGAGCTAAAGACAGAAAGGATGAGAAGAAAAGACAACAAGGCATGAAATGAAAAAAAATTTAATTAAAGGAGAGAGGAACACATGGCTTTTGTAGAATAAACTGTATTTTCACAAACATTTTAACACATTAAATCTGTGCAGAAAACAGAGATAAATGTAAACATAAATGTAAAAATTGCTTTTCTGAACCAAAACTGCTGTTGGAAATACTGTACTTCCTTGTAAATATCCTACACATTTTAGCCACCTTTTCCAGCTGTATTGCTTGTGTACTACTGCCCTCCAGAGGTTTGACAAGATGCTACAGGATGCTTCGTTCAACATTCTTCTCATATTTTTCAATAAAAGCAGATCTTCAGCTTAGTCACAGCATTCTTCTCATTTTTACGACAAAGATTACTACAGATTCTGTGATTGGAACAGAGTGGTTTAATTACATCGAGTCAGCAGCACAGCATTGTGTTGTGGGTGTGTGTGTGTGCGTCACATAGAAACTGTAGACATGTCTGGGATTAGTTTGGCCCAGCTAGTTGTGTAGATTTGGTTACGGTCTTGCTAAGTTGGGGTATTTCAGCCATGTGTCACAGGCCCTGTGTCTTCACTGTAAAAAGATATAGAAAGTGCTGCTAAGACCTGAGGCTAGCCAACTGTGAAATTGTCTCGACTGCTTGGCGAGCAGCAATGCCCAGCTTCACTTCATTCAGGATTAAAGTGTGCAAGGAAAGCATTTTATAGACTTTAATTTTGTGGTTGTTTCTCCCTCCCAGTCTTTCTCTCTCTCGGTTTATTAGTTTTGGCCACAATTAGTATGAAAACGTGATGCAGCTTAGTGAGACTTTCGCTGCAGACAGGCAAATAGCATTTAACACTTCATAAAGCATGAGGAATCACTGCAGTCACAGCCTGGCAGTGAGAATATGAGAACATGTTCATGGAAGCAGATGAGAAAATAGAAACATGTTTTACCTCTTCTACAAAATAGATTATATCCAGCAAATAACTTACCACATTTCCTCCCAAATTACTAAACTATGAAGCTAAAAGTGTAATCATGACCTTTATACAACTGCAACAAATTTTGCTGAACGTGAATTAGAATACGTTTAATTGATTTAAAATGTTTTTCCTAAAGATAAAAAAAAATCATAGCCCTAATAATTTTTGGTTGAAATAAAATGTATGTAGCTGTAAAACAAAACTAAGACCATATAACACCTTTAAGATGTGCAGCTCATATGTGATGAAAATGGGATCATTTCTTGTTTTCTTTAGTTGTTTGTTTTACTGATAGGTGGCGACCCCTACTGATCACAATATTTGTGGAAATAAAACGTGCAAAATGTATGTTATGTATGTATATATATATATATATATATATATATATATATATATATATATATATATATATATAATGCATGTATATTGCATGGCCACAAGTTTAAAATGTGTTTCTCTGATGATTCAAACACAAAAAAAGCCTTTAATTATTACTTCTTTTTTTTTGACAATGTTTGTTAAAGGGAATCTATGCTGTTTTGTCTTACTTTTAGCACCCCCTAGAGCCCGTTATTAATTAATTGATCTCCTCGCTGTGCGTTTCTCTTTTTAACACCTTACAACAGCTGAAATGTCTCCTTGGCCTTCATTAGTGTCTACAAGTTTGGTTAATCACTAGATAAAACAAATCAGCTGTGTTCATGATCTAAAACATGTAGGAAATGTGTTGCAAGCAGACTTGCTGGCATGTCAGCTCCACATTACTAAGACTAAAGTGGGACCTAACAGGGACCGTTCTGCATACTCTGAACTTCTGAAGTTGCAAATGTGCTATTCTGGCCACAGGGGGTGGTGTGGTCTCAGTGACTTTTCATTAACCCTTTAAAAGCGTAATTTTACTATGTACAAGCTCAAGACAACTTTTTCAAAATATAAAACAGTTGAATAGTATGCCTTTAAAAAATCTCACTGGAGGATCTTTCTAAAAATGTTATTATTGCCAATGATCTCTAACAAAACTGATTCACATGTAACAGGAAGAGTCTGGCGTTTTTCCCAAACTTTGAGTCATGTACCTGCAGACAGGGGGAAGCTCTCTGTTTCAGAGTCCTACTGACCATTCTCAGGCCTATAAATGTTTGGTCCACTCATGTGGAAAGGAGTATAATGTTTTTTTTTTTTTTTTTTTTTGGTCCCGTTGATTTCACTTTTCCATCTAAATGACACAAACATTTTCCTAAAGTACCACTGCACCTTATTTAAAGATGCCAAAATAAATTTAATTGGCTGCACAACCGAGTTTACACATTATGATAAATGGAGCAATAAAACAGTTCAAACTAAATAGATTAAAGTCATGCAAAAATTCTACTTTATAAAAATGTGCTGAACAAATCTGAGTGCAAATCAGTCGTGTTATTTCTGGGAGAAGAAATAAGGCTTGAATCCAGGCGTGTGAATATTTCAAGTGTCTCGTCACTAAATGAAAAACATTTAAATTTCTAAAACGTTTATCATATTGAATTTACAGAAATGGCTAAACTAAATACTACATTATATTTTACACTCATTTGTTCTAACATATATTGTAAAAAGTATCAAAGAGTCCAAATTCAAAATGGTTATTTGATTGCTTATTCTGTAAAATTTAAATGCTAAAAGACACAGAAGTTTTCTGCAATGTTAAAGAAGTAAGAATATTAAAATGTTCAGATTGAAAACTTGTGTTTTTCACTTATGAAAAAATTATTCTAAACAATGTTTAATGTACTTTTTCTGTCAATTCAACATTTTTTAAATAATATTTAAAGCATTTTTTAATATATTTTGTTGTCAAAAATTAGTATTTATTTCATTGACTTAAACAATCACTGTTACTTTTTGCTACTACATTCGAGTTACAGAGATATTTTGGGTCACACTATACTTAAAAACAATAGCTTGTGTGATTGCGTCAGACAGAAAGTATAAATATTCACTGTTCCTTCTTACCTTTTGCAGTGAAATCAGAGTTCCACCAGCTGTACAAGTTAAATTCAACCAGGAATCTAAATGTGAAGACAGCATCAATATTTCATTATTTGCTTTTAAAACACAATACAAAACACAGGAACATTTTTCTCTTACAATCAGCAAAAGTTGCAATTGATAATTTCTTTAAAATTTAAATATAACAGAGAAATGGAAAAGTATCTTTGAAACAGCTGTCATGAATGAAGTCCAATTAGTTGTCACACTGCTAAATTTGTTACCTACATTTGACCCATCCCCTGGGGGAGCAGTAAGCTGCACACACTAGGGGTTGTATGAACTAGTCGACTTCACTGCTCTGTAGTGACTTTTTATGCCTGTCTTCGACTAGTCACTGTCACGTGATAATGACCGGCAAGATGCAGACCTCGGAAAAGACAGCAGGTGAGGAGCTCCTGCGCGTCGGGAGGCAACGCACTGTGCCAGAGCGTTGGTACTGACACCCGCCATAAAATGGACATTTAACCAAATTGTGACCTTTACCCTCTTGCAATTTAACCTTCCCCTCAACCCCCATCCTAATCTTAACCAGCTTGCGCATGCAAAGCTCTGAATATTGATGCTCTCCAGACAGATGCGTCCTGAGCACGGCCACAGTAACATCAAATCAGGTGTCGCCACCTCAAAAACAAATTTAACATGCGATCATTCATGTCGGCTCATTTCCTTTTATGTTTTCTGTCTTTTATTTGTGCCTGATGCTTTTCGCTGCTGTGGAGCGGGGCGCATCACCTTGTCCTCCGGTGACGCACCTCACCGGTGCGGCCGGCGCGCCCCCCGCTGTTTTTGCGGTTGGTACATCCTTTAGAACTGCAGTTCAAAGGTAACTCTTGAGGTGAATATATATGAACCCATGTAGTAGCCTAGTTTCTCTTTAGGATTGAGAGGAGATGCAGGAAGATAATAAACAGGCAGGACAGAAAAACAGTCAAATAAAAACAAGTTAGTTTTTGTACCTGGTGGTTGCAACAAACAGACACCACTGAAGGTAATCAGAAGTGAGGAACAGAAAATGAAATAATTATTTTAATGTTTAGAGCAGCAGGAACTCTGAGAGGCTGCAGGCGCTTCAGTGAGTTTGCGGCCACTGCGCAGAGGGAGGGGGGAGAGGGCTGAAGCAGAAACTACCGTTGTTAAAAGAAATGTGTTTAACTCTGAAAATGTGGCCGCAATTTGAATTGTTAAAAACTCCAGTGAACCAACTGACGAACCCCCCCCCCCACCCCACCCCCGCGCGCGTGCTCCAGGTGTATGACGTCATCAACGACTAGTAAAAGTCGACTCGATTTTCATTACTTGACAGTCGACTTTTAAAAAAATTAAGTCATGCAGCTCCTAGCACACACAGCCATGTAAGGAATCATTTGGTGGTTTAACCACCCAATCCAACCCCTTAACGCTGAGTGTTGAGCAGGGAGGCACTGGGTCCCATTTTTTCAGAATCTTTGGTATGACCCAACCAGGATTTGAACCCTGATCTCCCAGTCTCAGGGCAAACACTCTTACCACTAGGCCACTGAGCTGGTATGTAAAAGCAACTGACCTCAGTCCTGTTATTTCTACATGATGCTGAAGTTTGTACAGCTTTTCTGCTGTTTGGAAAAATCACTTAACCGGGGACGCCGGGGACATGTCCCCGGCAAAATTTGTAATTGGCAGCTGTGCCCCCCCCCACACACACACACACACTTTAAAAAATGCCTGCTGATGAGGATTTTTGTTTTACCAGCTCAGATCTTATCCAGGGGTCGTCAACCTGTTCCCATCAAAGAGCCATTATTTCCCACAGTACAGGAAACACTGGGAGCCACAGCGGCTGCAGCGTTGTAGGCGGGGCCTACCCTCAGACAGCAGAGAGTTGCTCACAACAGGTGACAGCAGCCGGTACCGGTCGCTCGCATGGGCGTCGCACCCGTGGGAGATTCAACACCCACACATTTCCAGCTGTTTTGCTCACCTCCACACCAGTCTGGTTTCTTTACGTCGCACTCACTCTGTTTGCCTCATCTTCTTCTTCCCCTCCCGCTTCTGACAGCCGATGTCGGGTTTCCAGGAGAGCAGGAGAGGGAGGGACGGAAGCGCTCGACTGAATTCATAATTTTACATCTTGACATTAGCTGTACAAAGTCTGAGTTTGATAAAGTGAAGAACAACAATTTGCATAGGTTTATAACTGGCGCGGCGCCAGGTTTTCATTTTTGGGTGGGCCACGGTAATTTTGGACGGACCTTAATAAGCAGTGACTTAAGTGAAGCAGGCAGGACGCGCTAGAAAATTTCGTTTAAAAAGACGTCATAAATGTTCCCCCGTCATTTTAATTTCTAAAATATGAAGTAAAAACTCCCAATTTAATTTTCATTCATTTGTCATTAATATGTAGTCTACACCCGTGCGTTAAGTGGACCATCTTCCAGTAAAAGCAAAGCATCCAGCCCACCTCTCCAAATGCGTAAAATGTGCATCACAGCCACTAGTTAGGCACGCCGCGCCAGCCCAGATAAGAGCAGAGCAACTAGAGAACGAATAGAGGATAATTCTGTCTGGATGTGGATGGAGATTACATTTTACAGCAGCCTGATCATCATTTAAATACGTAAACCATCACCTGTCTTCTTTTCCACGCTATCAGCATTATTTTAATTGGTCTGTGTGTGTGTGTTTTCCACTTCAAACTAACCAACCAGACCAGCGTGTCCAGTAACATATTAATGTTACAATTAAACCGTTTAACTTCATGTAGGCTAGGAACATTTCAGATTTCAGATTTCAGATTTATTGGCCAAGTAAAATTACATTTACAAGGAATTTGTCTTCGATAGATGTTCGCTCTCTAAAACATACAACAACCATAATAAATGAAGAATAAAAATACCTAAAAACACATAAGAACATGTATACCCACACACATGTTCATTTACACACACACATATATACATACACACACACACGCACGCACAAACACACACTCACACACACACACACACACACACATCCATAAGCATACTGATTAAGTATTAAAAACTATAGTAAAAGGATGGTAAAATAATCTACAGATTCACCTGCCGTGGCCCGACCGCTTCTGCTCCACATAAACTTTGTGCGTGATCAAATGTCTCTACAGGTGCTTGCTGAGCTGAAGAGGCTATTCTGCCTCAGACTGGATGTGTCATGCGTCTCCATATTAGAGACGGGAACAAGCACTGTTCAGCCAAAGTTTCATAATTTCATAAAAAGAACATTTTTCCAAGTGACACATCCCTCAGAGAGACCGGGTTTCCAGACCGCTTCAGTGGGAGGAGATCTTATTGCATGCACTGTGGTTCTGCACTGCGCTGCGAACCCCTCTGCAGATCTTCAGCCCACTGTCCGTGGGCGCTCCAAGCTGCGCTGAACACAGTGTCCAGTATAAAGCTCTGATGTTCTGATAGGAATCAAGTTACCTCTGCGATGTGCGTAACGATTAAAATGTCAGCTCATCCATGCGCATCAGTGTGCGTCGGGGTAATTCTTTCAAAACAACCAACATCCTTGAGTTTATCCGTCAATATGTGGCAAAGTGGAGAAACGAGGGCCCGGGCGGGATTTGATCCCCAGACTCCCGGGTGAGAGTCATACGCTCTAACCAGTCAGCCAAAGGGACATCCTCTTGGCCAAGAAGCCAGGGCGCATTATTTATTGGGACACTGTGACAGGACAATCACACTGCCACACCTGATTATGAAACTTTGGCTGAATAGTGCTTGTTCCTGTCTCCAATGTGGCGACGCATCCAGGAACCTGTCTGAGGAGAAGCCCAGAATCTGACATCCTCCAGCTCAGGAAGCGCCTATGATTACGCACAAGCGTGACCCGTCAACGCGGTCTCACAGTAAGACCGGGTTGGAACTGTTCAGGTTTACGCAGACAATCTTTACATTTAGAATTGGCATACAGATGTAAAATTAATGCAGTAAAATATAAAGCTTTTTATTTAAATATCCATTCATTATTTTACAAGCACAGAGAGCCGCATCAGATGGATGGAAGAGCCGCATGCGGCTACGGAGCCGCCGACCCCTGTGCTAGCCTACTTTATTGTCCCCAGCAATTTTTAAACCCCACTCAAGTGTATGGTTATTGTCCCCAGCAATTCTGAAAACAAACTGACGCCCTTGCCCTCATATGTACATTTAAACCATTCACTTTAATTTTAACCCTAACCTTCAGCCAAATGAACGTGTGGGGATTTATATAATGTTCTGTGCAGTTTTGTGTTGGCTAACCTTGTTTTCATCTTTTTATTTTAATTTTTATCCCTTTTAAAATAAAAAATAAAAGGAGAATAATGTTGCAGATTTGCTTAATATCAGTCGTGTAATTGCTTGTTTTTTTGTCACGCGGAAAAACTATATAGTTGAGTAGGTTTTACTCACAGAAAGGAGCTATAGATGAAATATTTAGGGAGAAATAAAAGTTGATGTGTCATTTCTTTTTGCTTTCATCATTGTAAAGCAAAGTTGAAAGCAGAGCCTGTAATGGCTGATTCCAAATTAAAGGTGCAATTTGTAAGAATTACCTCCCTTGGTCAAATGTGGTTACTGCAGTCCATTTTTAAGCAAAAATATTTCTCTTTCACTACCGTTCCGTAAGTTTCACAGCTGTTGTTAGTTAAGGGTCAGCACCAAAAGAGTGTTGATGACAAGCAAAGACGAGTCATACACAGTAAGATTATAAGTATTCTCACAAAAGTCAAATAAATAAATAAATAAATAAATAAATAAGCAGATAAACACATTGTCATACCTAGTCTTGGATGTTTTATGGAAGTTCTTACTACACTTACTATGACAATTTGTCTCCAGCATTACAGGAAGTTATGTTATTTGCTGTCTTGCCATTAGCTTGCTGTTATAGTTCTGGATGACTCATTAAAGAAAGCCAAAGGCCATGACATCAACATTAGCCTCTAATCTGCTTCACCCCATTTAAGAGGGAAACAAAACGCTGCTGTGGCGTCTTAGGGGTACAAGAAATAACTTCTGGGTTGCTCCCGTTTACTGTTTGCATTTCTTTAAACAACTCTGGAGCATTTTGCCTGCCGGAAACCTCACAAACTCACAGAGTGTAAACAGCATCTACGTCCCAGTTACGTTTAGTATGAAATCTGTTGCAGCATACTCTTCCTTCTTTGTGATATTTTCACAGTAGAATTCCTACAAATTGCACCTTTAAAGTTCAATATAATTTTTTTGAAGTTGTTTAAAAAATGTTGCTGAACTTAAGTGTCAAATATGGACATGATCCTTTTGATTTTTAGATAAAAACACTTTCAACATGACTTCATAGTCAAATAAAAAAACAGTAATCATAGTAAAAAACAAACAAAGTATACAATACTCATACAAAGTTTTTAAATTAGCAATGAAAACTTCCATGATGCACTTCGGCAGTGACAGACCACCCAGCAGGTCTAAACCACAGCCACGGCGGGACATCTCAGGGATACCCGTGCTATGGGAAAGCATCAGGCATCCATTTCTAGTTTTGATCACAGCGGAACGCGTTAACATACACGCGGAGACTCTCATAAACAAACACGCACGACAAACAGAACGCTCCCAAACACACAGTCAATCTGAGAGCGGGGAGGCCCAAACACAAGCCCTGAAACCACATATATGCTCTTAGCTTCTGGCATCGCTGCACAAACAGACATTCTCTCATGTGGAGGACTCTTACATGACAAGCTCCGTCAGGGTCCACTTTACTGCAGCCAAGAAAGCAAAGTAGGGCTAAAAATTACATAAAAAGACAGGAAATACAGATAAGAGAGTTGCAGCACATAAGCTGGTATTTAGATTTGAATTTGACTTTAGGTTGAAAAGAGCAGTACTCACATCCAGCAGAGTGTGCCCACTGTCCCTGCTCTCTGAATAGACCCGACACAGCGCCTGGTAGTCATAAAGCGTGACCCTGATAAGATGAAAATAAAACATATAGAGCAAAAGAACGTCTAAAACACAAATAAACATATGACTGTTGCATTAGAATGTTACATCACTAAAAACAGGATATACCTGTTTCGGTTCACAGATTTCCTCTACAATCCCATGCCTGAGGGGCCTTTTAGACTGCTGTGTAGGAGCAGGAAGAAAATATACCACCTCTGCAATAACCACAGCTTCAGCCACCAATAATAATTGGGATAGATGGAGAATGGATGGAAAGAGGAAGGCAAGTGAAAGATGAGAGCTTCCTGTGAGGTTTGTCATAGTGATTTGAGAACAGTGTGTGTGTGCAGATAATTTGAGGGATATTGGAGGGATATCAGAGGATTTGAGAGGTTTACTGAACCCTGAGGGGTTTAAATGTAGTTCTGTCTGTGTAAGGTTATTGAAAAGGTTTCTAACTTGCACATACACCACTGGACGCTCTTTTTAACAGCCGTTGGAAAAGGTCTGGTATACCTGATACACCTTCATGTTAATGTTGGATATTGTGTGATGTCGGAGTGTTCTGGTCAGCCTCAGGCGTCGTTCAAACTTCACTTCATAGCGATGCACAGCTTCAACACATCAATAAGAAACGTATAGACATAAGCCATTCCACGTGTGCTAGCAGCTTACCCAGACCAGTGTGTGTTTGTTTTGCATGGAAACAGAATTTTTTATCTGTATACTTATTACCCTGCCAGATACATATAAACCGCTTTTGTTTTCTCATCAACGTCATCAATTGCTTTCACACTTTTGCTCCAATAGACCTTACTCAGTTCTATTTTTCTTTTACTCTCTCGCACATCTGACACTACAGAAACCTGAAAATGTACAAGAGTTACTACCAGAACTAAGGTCTTACTCTCTTAAGATTTTACCCACAAAAAGCTGAAATTGAGTTTTTCATCCATTATATCTCCAAGAACTTGTGTACAAGGGATGTTATTGGTTATTTCTAATGTGTCGTTATTATGAAGGAAAGGAATAAACTTGCAAGGAAAAAAGTGTTGGATACCAGTTATCATTAATTCAATGGATTCCTTACAAATCCATTCATCTATCCATACAATTTTTTCCACTTATGTATGGAGCTAGAATTGGGACAATATTGCATGTGACGTGTACCAAGTTTTGTAACTTGTAACATCTTTTGTAACTGTAACCTTATTTTTGTAGCATGTAATTCACATTTTGTAGCTGTAACTTAGTTTAGTAGCATGTACTTCACATTTTGTAACTATAACTTTAATTGTGTAGCAAGTAATTTACATTTTGTAACTGTAACTTTAGTTTTGTAGCATTTGATTCACATTTTGTAACTGTAACTTTCATTTTGTAGCATGTAATGTACATTTTGTAACTATAACTTTAGTTTTTTATCATGTAATTTACATTTTGTAATTGTAACTTTAGTTTTGTAGCATTTGATTCACATTTTGTAACCATAACTATAGACATGATCTGCACGTCCATCTGCAGGGACCCAAAGCTCGTGACCAGAGGTGAGGGTAGGAACGTGGATCAACCGGTAAATCTAGAACTTTGATTTTGCTAACTAAACCTAACCTAACCCAATTCAACCACTAGAGGAAGGACCTTGTCCCTAGAGCAGGTATTCTGCCCTTTTGCATCTCCTGACCATAGTCTCGGGTTTTGATTTCCTCATATATTTTACTTTAATTATGTTTGTCAAAAACCTTGTTGTTTCAGTTTATTATTTTACTAACTGTGTTTTTATTGCCTGTGCATGGTGAAGGATACCACAAAATAATGTGTCCTATTTTTTTATTTTTATTTACAGACTTGATGCTGATTAATAAGTTGAAAGTGGATGGCACTTTTTAAAACGTCTTTTATTTTAATACAAATCTCCGACCCAAACTCAGTAATTTACCACCAACATCACTGCACTGGGACACATCACAATGGAGTCATTAGCATTAAGATTTTAAAGGTCTGTTACTCATCCCTCTGTGCCTCCAGCAAAGATCTTACTCATTCATCTTATTATGTCTTTCTCAATTTTAACCATCAATCATCATCCAACACTGAATCTTCAGGTAAAACATTGGTCATTTTGTTTTTATGGATTGGTCTGTAATCTATTAGCTGTCAGTTTGGGAGGTTTTTTTCTTTAAAAACAGCCTCAGTCATGAAAATATTTGTCACCTCTGATTTCAAGACATCATGGCAGAAATCCCCTCAGTCCTTTCTTCAGAAGGCAGAAGCCATTGAAGGGCATGCATTGGCATTAGAGATGAGGTTTTAAGATTGCAAGCAGAAGGAATTTACACTTAGCTCTATGCTAAGACTTTGCCAATCATTGCAGCAGCTTGACAACCAAATGTCTTCTTTTGCTGTTTTTCTTCTCTGAAATACTCAGAAAGGTGTTCTCAAACCTCTAAATTAATTGCAGAATGTTGCTGCTCACTTTTTGTAGAATTTTCCAGAAGACAAAAAAAATCACAAATCCACATCTGCATGGGTTTTACCTGTGTGTATGTGTGGGAGCAAACTCAAGTCCCCCAAATCTTTTGTTTCAGGAAAAGATTTGCAGTAATCCCCTAATGGAGAACTTCATCGAGTGAGGGGTCAGAGTTGAGCGCTGAACGACTCAACACGAGTGTGCCGAGTTAAGAGCTGTCAGCAGGAAAGGAGATGTGCCCTTACTCTGAAACCTGCCTGATATTTTGCACATGTATTCACACACACACACACACACACACACACACACACACACACACACACACGGTTTCAAATCCTTACCTTTTGAAAGAGCCCATCTGAAGAAGCTTACTCATCACAGCTCCTTCTGCTTGACCAAAGAAATTTCCTGTCTGAGGCCAAAAAGACAGAAAACTGCAGTTGTACACTGATTTCTGCAGGGTGTCTCATAGTTCCATGCATTGCCTCCTTCCAAACCCCCTTTGTGCATGAATCCATCCTTAACGAGGTGCTCAGGACGTAATGTAGAATGGAGCTTGGAGGCTTAATGATGTGTTTAGCACAAAATAAATGTCTGAAAAATAAAGTTTCAGATTTTTTTCTAAATTCTGTTTGATAAATATTCATTGTGAAGGACAGTCATGCTAAAATAGTCCTGGAATGGGATGAAAACAATTCTCCACCAGTGAAACCTAAAAGCATTTGGCTTCCAAAAATAAAAGTAAGCACAGTATGTCGTAGAGGAAGGATGCATGAAAAGAACAAGTAGGGAAAGGGAAGGGCAATGACAGCCAGCGGACTGGCTGCTGGATGAACTAAACTCAGAGTGACAGCATGTCTGGTCCCTGCTAAGCCGAGGATTTATACGTGCTACAACAGCACAAGGTCTTAGTGAATGTTCATGCCAAAACTTTATCTTAGTGAAAAACCGAAATGTGTTTTCTATGTGATGCCCTTAGTCGTGCGTTTTATGAAGTGATAATCATGATTGCGTGAATATCTTACCAAAGTGTAGTCCTCTGCTACCAGAATGAAGCCGTTGTTGTCGATGAGGTAGCAGTTAATATTCTGTCAAAAAGAATCAATCGTTCAAGTGGTTTTAATGCGAACAATTGAATGAATTATAGAAACTTGTATGACAAAAATAAACCAGACTGACCTCTTCATCACAGCTTATGGAGCATCTCCCATCTAATGCAGTGCACTAAAAACAAACACATCTAAATTCAATATGGCCATCATAACAAAAATGTCAACTGATCATGTAAAAATCGTTTTTCTGAGAATAAAATATATGACTGATTTATGGCAATAACTTGTCAAAAAAGATTTTGAAAAGAAAAAAATATACTTTTTTAAATTTCCTTTTCTAGCTAGGCAAGAGAAGGCAGCTTTATTTGTATAGCACGTTTTATACACAGAAGCAATTCAATCTGCTGTCCAGAAGCAAGAATAGCTAAATTCACAGGATCTTTCATGGAGGTAAAGTCAAAGAGTCGGAGTGCCCGGCCCGGAGGGTTACCGGGGTCCCACCCTGGAGCCAGGTCTGGGGTTGGGGCCCATGAGCGAGCGCCTGGTGGCCGGGCCCAGCCCGAACCGGATACATGGACTCATCCAACTGTGGACCCACCACCCGCAGGAGGAACATGAAGGGTCCGGTGCAGTGTGGATCGGGTGGCAGACCAAGGCGGGAGCCTTGGCGGTCCAATTCCCGGAAAAGAAAACTGGTTTTTGGGACATGGAACATCACCTCGCTGGCGGGGAAGGAGCAGGAGCTTGTGGCAGAGGTTGAGCGGTACCGGCTAGATATAGTCGGACTCACCTCGACACATAGCATTGGCTCTGGAACCCAAGTCCTTGAGAGGGGTTGGACACTCTCCTTTGCTGGAGTTGCTACGGGTGAGGCGGAGGGCTGAGGTTGGCTTTTTGTTAGCCCCAAGACTCTATGCCTGTGTGTTGGGGTTTACCCCAGGGGACGAGAGGGTAGCTTCCCTGCGCCTTCGGGTCGGGGAATGGGTCCTGACTGTTGTTTGTGCTTATGGGCCAAATATCAGTTCAGAGTACCCACCCTTTTTGGAGTCCCTGCGACGAGTGCTTGATAGTGCTCCATCAGGGGACTCCATTGTCCTGCTGGGGGACTTCAATGCTCACGTGGGCAATGACAGCTTGACCTGGAGGGGTGTGATTGGGAGGAACAGCCCGCCTGATCTGAACTCGAGTGGTGTTTCGTTATTGGACTTCTGTGCAAGCCGCAGTTTGGCCATAACGAACACCATGTTCGAACATAAGGATGCCCATCGTACACTTGGTACCAGGGCAGCCTAGGTCGCAGGTGGATGATAGACTTTGTAGTCATATCATCTGACCTGTGGCCATATGTTTTGGACACCCGAGTGAAGAGAGGAGCGGAGCTGTCAACTGATCACCACCTGTTGGTGAGTTGGATCAGATGGCAGGGGAAAATGCCGTAACGCAGAGTGAGGGTCTGCTGGGAACGCCTGGCAGAAGAACCTGTTAAGACGGTCTTCAACTCCCACCTCCAGCAGAGCTTTGACCGCGTCCCGAGAGCAGTGGGGGACATTGACTCTGAGTGGGCTTTGTTCCACTCTGCGATTGTTGAGGCGGCTGTTGCTAGCTGTGGTCGCAAGGTGGCCGGTGCCAGTCGTGGTGGCAACCCTCATACCCGCTGGTGGACACCAGAGATTCGGGGAGCCGTCAGGCTGAAGAAGGAGGCCTACAGGGCGTGGCTGGTTTGTGGGTCTCCGGAGGCAGCAGACAGGTACCGGATAGCCAAGCGGGGTGCAGCAGTGGCAGTTGCCGAGGCAAAATCTCGGGCGTGGGAGGAGTTTGGTGAGGCCATGGAGAAAGACTATCGACCGGCTCCAAAGAGGTTCTGGCAAACTGTCCGGCACCTCAGGAGAGGAAGGCAGCAACTCGCTCACACTGTTTACAGTGGGGATGGGGAGCTGCTGACGTCAACTGGGGCTATAGTCGGACGGTGGAAGGAATACTTTGAGGAGCTCCTCAATCCCACCTACGCACATTCCGAGGAGGAACCAGAGCTGGGAGAACTGGGGATGGACTGTCCAATCTCGGGGGCAGAAGTTGCTGAGGTAGTCAAACAACTACACAGCGGCGGAGCCCCGGGGACGGATGAGGTTCGCCCTGGGTATCTCAAGGCTATGGATGTTGTAGGGCTGTCATGGTTGACCCGTCTCTGCAACATTGCATGGTCATCGGGGGCAGTTCCTGTGGAGTGGCAGACCGGGGTGGTGGTCCCCATCTTTAAGAAGGGTGACCTGAGGGTGTGTTCCAACTATAGGGGGATCACACTCCTCAGCCTCCCTGGAAAGGTCTACTCCAAGGTACTGGAGAGGAGGGTCCGATCGATAGTTGAATCTCAGATTGAGGAGGAGCTATGTGGTTTTCATCCTGGCCGTGGAACTGTGGACCAGCTCTATACCCTTGCAAGGGTGATGGAGGGGGCATGGGAGTTTGCCCAACCAATCCACGTGTGTTTTGTGGATTCGGAGAAGCCTTATGACCGTCTCCCCAGGGGCACCCTGTGGGGGACGCTCCAGGAGTATGGGGTGGGTGGCTTTCTGTTAAGGGCCATTCAGTCCGTTTATCAGAGGAGCGTGAGTTTGGTCCGCATAGCCGGTAGTAAGTCTGACCTGTTCCCGGTGAGGGTTGGACTCCGCCAGGGCTGCCCTTTGTCACCGGTTCTGTTCATTACCTTTATGGACAGAATTTCTAGGCGCAGCCGTGGTGTGGAGTATGTGGAGTTTGGTGGCAGGAGAATCTCGTCTCTGCTTTTTGCGGATGATGTGGTCCTCCTACCTTCATTCAGCTCTGACCTTCAGCTCTTGCTGGGTAGGTTCACGGCCGAGTGTGAAGTGGCTGGGATGAGGATCAGCACCTCCAAATCTGAGACCATGGTTCTCGACCGGAAAAGGGTGGCTTGCCAACTCCGGGTCGGGGGAGAGGTCCTACCTCAAGTGGAGGAGTTCAAGTATCTCGGGGTCTTGTTCACGAGTGAGGGTAGGAGAGATCGGGAGATCGACAGGCGGATTGGTTCAGCGTCTGCAGTGATGCGGACCCTGAGCTGATCTGTCGTGGTGAAGAGGGAGCTGAGCCAGAAAGCCGGGCTCTCGATTTACCGGTCGATCTACGTCCCAATCCTCACCTATGGTCATGAGCTTTGGGTAATGACCGAAAGAACGAGATTGCGGATACAAGCGGCCAAAATGAGTTTCCTCCGTAGGGTGGCCGGGCTCAGCCTTAGAGATAGGGTGAGGAGCTCGGACATTCGGGAGGGACTCGGAGTAGAACCGCTGCACCTCCGAAAGGAGCCAGTTGAGGTGGTTTGGGCATCTAGTCAGGATGCCTCCTGGACGCCTCCCCAGGGAGGTGTTTCAGGCACGTCCTGCTGGCAGGAGGCCCCCGGGTCGACCCAGGACACGTTGGAGAGGTTACATCTCCAATCTGGTCTGGGAACGCCTTGGGGTCCTGCCGGAGGAGCTGGTGGAGAAGGCTGGGGAGAGGACGGTCTGGAGCTCCCTAGCTGGGATGCTGCCCCCGCAACCCGGACCCGGATAAGCGGAGGACGACGACGACGACAAGAATAGCTTAATCAATATGAAAAAATAAAACTGCAGATTTTAAAGTCAGAAGAAAAATACAACAATACACAGTTAAAAATGTGTTGCAAGAATCAGATAAACAGACGAAGTTAAGGTGAACAGTTACAGTGCAGAAGGTGCAGCATAAGAAACCGTCAATCATAGGCTGATGAATCCATGAAGGTTTTTCATTTTGATTTAAAAGTTGCTAGAGTTGGGGCACATTTGAGGTCATGAGGAAGCTGACTCCGTCTGTTTGCAGCATGGTAGCTAAAAGAAGTTTCACCCTGTTGGGTTCTGACCCAGGGTTCTACCAGTTGCCTGTTTGCTAAGGATCTCAAAGCCCTGCCAGGCGTGCATAGTGGAAGGAGATCTGACGTGTAATTTGGCCCTGTGCCATTGAGTAATTTATAAACTAGCAGAAGTACTTTGAAATTGTTTCTATACTTTACTGGTGACAAATGTAAATATTTAAGAACAGGTTTGATGTGCTCTAGCAGCAGCATTATGAATAAGCTGCAGTTGCTTCACAGCTTTTTTGAGAAGACCAGTCCAGAGACCATTGCAATAGTCCAGCCTGCTGGAGATGAACACATGACTGGTTTTCTCTAGATCTTGTCTGAACATGAGACTTTTGAGTCTGGCTATTTGATGAAGATGATAAAATGCTGATCTAGCTATAGCCTAATGTGACCAGCAACGCTCAGGTCTGAATCAATTATGACACCAAGATTTCTAACCTGAAAGCTACATGTTCAGCTCATAAAAACTAACACATGATTACTATGTGCATTGCCTATTCTATTAAGGGGAAAGCAGATGTGTCAGTCTGCATCAGAATTCAAGCCAACAAACAGAGGGTGGCATTCATGTGCATTTGCAGCAAGAGTCAGAGTGGCAGAAATGAATTGTTCAAATATTCCTTCAGTTACTTTTTCTGCTGAGACTGGTTCATGCAAAAGATGCCCAAGACACATAAAAGGTGTGAGAGACTGGACACTTCTTTTCTTGTTGCATGAAGAAGAAATGAACAACAGACTCTGGTTCACTGAAGGTTGTTTTTGGAGCTCTGAGGGAATGTTTGCTAACTGTGACTTTTTTGGATTAGAAAGTTTGAGCCTAGCCCAAGTTAATTTGTACAAGAACAGCAACCTCCCTGACTGCTGCCAGAAACTGACTTTCAACCTTTCAGGGTGTGTGGACCATGCTGTTAACTAAGAGCAAAAATCCTCTGATTACCCTTGCATAAAAAAAAAAACTAAGTTCACTCCAAAATGATTCGATGCAGCACTTAATTATATCTATTTTTTAATCACCACATCATATAAAAGTCATTCTTATTTTCATTGTTCAATAAACTCTTCATATAACTAATGAGTGATTTTAATTTTAGGGCAAATAGCTTCTAAAGGAAGTTGATATAAAATCAAGAATAAATTGTTTAGCTTGTATTTTTCTGGGCAGCACACAATAATGTACAAAATGTGTGTTTACTACACCTGTCGGCTGGCTGTCCAGAACTTTCTTTGAAAAAACTCCAGTTTCATCTGGATCCCCACAGCTGAAAGAAATGCAAAAAAGTCAGTCAATGTAGACCCACGAGTTGAGGTGCAGGAGCAAAGTTCCTCTTCCTTCCGCTGGATGGAACAACTAAAAGACCAAATTCACACATCAGTCATTTCAGTAACAACTAACTGAAAGTGTCCCTTAATTGTGTTACTCAGTACATGGGTATGTGGCTTTACAAGCATCAACATAACAGGTCCATTAACACACTGCTCTGAACAGAAACACCATTAAATCTGTAATCTGTCCAAAGATGGCTGCAGAGGAAGTACATTTAAAATTCCCTCCATTCTTTCTACTACCATGTCCTCAGAAACAGTTCCATCATATATGAAAAGTTTTCCAGGAACAAAAAAATAAATGATGTTATATAGTAATAATAAAATGGAGGGATATTTCTAAAACTGGTGCCTTTCCCTAGTGGTGATTTGTGTGGTGCACCATAGACCAACAACAATTAAGACTGTAAAATGAAACCTGCAAACATATTTAAATGTTAATGTTAATGTTGCTTTCATTTTCTAGTAAGTGCATTTAATGAAATTGGCCATTACACATTTTCATTCACCTGTCAAGCAATCTGTTGTGTTTAAGTGTCACACATTAATTTATGTGCTGTATGCAAGATTAGTGAATGGTTAATCCTGATTAGTCTTATGAAAACAAAGCAAATTTATTGTATTGCTTATTGTATAGGATCAATGAAGTTCCTATGGGTGGTGAAATTAATGTAAAAAAGATTTACACTGGCACAACTTGTTTTATAAAATTAGAATATTTTTGTGCATTGGCAGAATTGTGCTAATCCTTGCATGAAGCAGGGTGCAACTGTGACCCATTTTAGCTTGTGCCCAAAGGAACAGGTGCAGATTATCCCATCATACGCTTTGCCAGATCCTTTCAGCAGCCCACCATTTCTCCACCCACAAGAGTAGAGGCTAATTTCAGATGCAGGGCAACAATGATGGACACAAGACAGAGGGGGAAAATAGTAAGAGAGAGAGAGAGAGAGAGAGAGAGAGAGAGAGAGAGAGAGAGAGAGAGGTGTGTGTGTGTGTGGGGGGGGGGGGGCACGTGTCAGCCATTACAATAATAAATTCAAGGGTTCTGAAAATATATTGTGAAATCTTACAAACGCAGCCTTGAATAAAATGCATGAAATGAGAGAGAAAAGTAGTTTGGTGAAAATAAATTCACCAGAATTCTGCAGGGTTTTGTTTCACGAAGGACCATTAAAGGTTAAAAGTGCACTGATCTTGCAATCTACCTGGATGACTGTTCAGAACAACCGATCACATCTGGGCTTCTATTGCTTAGGATTTTCTTTATTGGTTTATTTATTTTGTAATATGCAGGAAAATGTGATTCCCCTATGTATGATTTGAGAACTAAGGGGTATTTAAGCCCTGAGCCGGGTTTATGAATCAAAAAACTGAAGAGACAGAAAATCTACTCTAAATCCATCCTTTTTCCAATCTCCCATCAGTTCAATCCCAAGCAGTGGGATGACAACTGCTTTAAGGCCTGCAGATTGAGGACTCTAGTAAGGATTGTATAAATGTGTATGTCCATCAGAAAAACTGCTTTTGGGTGTGCATATGTGCATATGATCTCTGGCAAAGGCACTAATGTTTTGAATCTGCAAAAGCATGCATTCCTTAATTTTCTTGACATTTTTTTCTATTCGAGCATGAATAGCTTTGCAGCCTATTAGCAAAAATAAATAAATAAATAAAAATACAGTACAGCAGAGAGTTCCTTATCATGTTTTAATTGGTTAGGCTGGAGAAAGACATAGATCTCTGGAATTTGAGTTTGACATTTTTTTTCTAGATTCCCATTTCAGCCTTGTCTGTGCAATCTTCCAAGAAAATTAAAAAATACACAGACCTCTACGGACCTTTAGCGTACTCATTGTTGTTATTCAGAGCATTACTGTTAGAAAAACATAAAACATGGATAGATTGTTTTAAATGGCTGCTAGAAGATTTCATAATTAAAATTAATGTATGAAACAAAATCAAAACAAGATCAAATTTTCATATAAGCAACTCACACGACTTGTGGAACAATGTTATGGAGAAAGGTAAGACCAAATTGGAGGCATTAAGCAATAATGCAGACAACTACTGTACATTCAGGGAAAAGCATAAAATAATTTATGGCAAAAGAACAATCAGCATATGGCGGAGGCGTGATGATCGGGGCTCGTTTTCCAGCCGCTGACATGAGCACCTCTCAGTCACTGAGAGGATCACAAACCTTTTTTGTATACCAAATTAGTCAAAGTCAAAAATGAAGCCATCCATCTGGCAGCTGAAACTTTTCTCTTGGTCTCGACAGGACCAGAACTCTGAATTCAGAAAGACAAACAGAAAAAAGGAAGGTTTTGCAATGGTTCTGTTCAAGTTCAGACCTCAACCTGAGTAAAATCCTGTGGTGAGACCTTCAAAGAGGTTTGCATAAACAAATTCCAGCAGATCACAATAAACCGATGCAACATAATAAGGAAGTGTGAGTCCAAAGGCTTGCACAGTGATGTAAGACTACTGGGGTACTATAACCTATTGCTTATGCTTTATTTTTACCATAACCGTGTAAACAATTGACAAATGGAGACAACCACATTTGCAGTTGTCCCTCAATGTATTAGCACTTCAATCACAGGATATAGAGCTCCGGTGTCGGTACAAGATCTGCTCGGGTGCAAAATTGGCTCGGGTCCGTCAACTGCCGATGACGTCTAAGTAGTTGATTGGCTGAACATGAACCTTACGGAATTACGTAATCACGTAATGTTGTTATCACGTGACGTTGGTCCAGGCAATTTTTTTCTATTGGAAAGATGGACAACTTTTACAAAGAAATCCATCATTACCTCTTTGAAAATACACTTTTAGCATAGAGCTGCAAGTATATTAGGGCTGAACGATTAACTGCATGTGCAATTAAATTGCGATGTGACAAAAGGAGATTTTCTAATGGCAAAGGCTGCAATTTGGCAGCGAGTGGTTAGCGCAATGCTAATATACATGGAAAAACCCATAGGAATGCTAATGCTAATATTGCCGATTACATTATTACAAATTATGAATTAGAAACGTGCCAAATGATTACATTTGGAGTCTAATAGAAAGTAAAACTACCATCAATCAAATAAGTACAGACAGGTATTTTAGTAAAGCCAGAAAACTTTTAACTCCATAGCTTTGGCTAGCAGCTATGAGCGTAACTGAACTACGCATGGACAAGACGTCAAAATCTCTAAACACAAATACTTCAATAAACGGGACACACTTCTTTCCTGCAAATACAATTTCACAGGTGTTGCTAATACCTATGATCCTTCAAGGGATGTGCTCAAAGAGGAGTTCAACATGAATCAAATATAGTGTTTTATTTTACAAATACTATTATAAACACAAACTTACGACTTAAGAAACATTATTTTAATAACGAAACTGCTAAATTCTTTCCAACAGTATAGATGTGTAGTGTATTTTGTCCGAGTGGGTTTGCCGTACTTTGACGTCATCGGCAGTCGAAGGACCCCGAGCCGATCTTGCACCCGAGCAGATAATGTACCGACACCGGACCCCACGTGACTCTCAGTTAGACGCCATTTTGGCAGGAAAAAAAGGTAAACAAACACGGATGTAACCATGAACGTGAACGAGATTCGCTTGGATTTTACTTCGTCGGAGTTTACTTCACCTTTAAAACCGAAGAATTCGTTTTATAGAGTCAGAAATTAAATAGACTAAACATCTCCGACCCTTACCGTGCCCTTGGGATACTTTTTAAAAACGCCAGAAGCTGTCGGAGCGGACTACACCGGACCTGGCCGGGGAACCCCTTGGGATTCCCCGGCCGGAGGAGCTGGGGAGAGGTCTGGGACTCTCGACGCTCCGACGCCAGAAGCTGTCGGAGCGGACTTCTTACTGGACCTGGCCGGGGAACCCCTTGGGATTTACCCGGAGGAGCTGGCTCCGGCGGCTGGGGAGAGGGAAGTCAGGGCCTCTCGACGCTACATGCCCCCGCAACCCGACTCCGGATAAGCGGATGAAAATGGATGGACAAATAACAGAACTCACGAGGCAACGTTTTACGTGACGTTTACTTGTTGCTATGAGTAATAAGACAGAAAAAGCCACGCCAAAATAAGTTTAGGAAGCCCACTAAGAATCGTAATAAAAATATTTAAAATAAATACCATACACAGTTGAGGAAACGTTGGTTTAAGTACCTGATATGAAGTGGTCACTGCATAAGCGAAATCCTTTACTCTCGGGATCCCACAATTTCATTTTAGCCCGGTCACTAGCATGTTTTATTACAATGATCCAACGTTTGCAGCGCTCCGGATCTTGGGGAATCCTGTAGATGGCTCATTCCTTATGTCGTCCGCGTCTGTTCTGCATCCTGGGGCACAACAGGAATCTACCATATTTCCTGTCTGATTGAGTTTTCTGACAATAACAAATAGTCCGGCTGCCGGCTTCTGCCTGCCTAATGGCGCCGTTTCGATTTGAACTGTTGCATGCCGGGAAACGTGACGTCAACTCCCGGAGCTCTATAAATGAGTCACATAAAATTGTAGAACATTTGGTTTTGTTGTTTTCTATTAACATTTTTATTAGACCTTTTACCACAAACAGAACAGACTGTCTAGACGCATCAACATACGGACGTGTGAGCAGATATGAAAGGCAACATCACACAATCGCAGATGCATATCCCTGCATCAGTGTAGATAACCTCTCAAATATGCATGCAAATCCAAACGTGTGCCGATACGTGCTCTGCTACATGTCTGTAGCTGGGTAATCTTGTCAGTTATTTAAACAATAATTATAAGAAATAAGTACAAAACTGAGATTGGTTTTTACTGACTGATAAAAAAAAGTCTAGTCTTTCAGCAGAGGAACGGATTTAAATCTGTATGGACAGGAAGGCCAAGGTCATCTTGCAACCCTAATGATCCCATCGCTTTGATTGTTCAAACGAGCTCAGCAGTCGTTCCATTTTGAGAAAATAAAACAAAAACCAACTGCAGCAGCTTAATATTCAGCTGTGTGTGCTTGTGAGTGTGTGCATTTTGTGTTGCTGTGCTGGGGGTGTGTTCAGCCATCCCCTCTGCCCACGGCTTATGCATAATATCATCAGAGCATGCCACACAACAACGGGCATCCAATGCTTGCTGCATGTTTAAATGTTGGAGTATTTTTGTTGATGCTCTGCAATCTAGATCTAATTTTGTCTTGTTCAGCTCTTGCAAGAGCGATAGAAGGTGTAACGTGCATGTCAGTGAGTGTGTTTGTGCTGTGATTTAAGAGGCACAGCTGTCCACAGGGAGATGACACACCAACTCACACACCAATGCAACTGGGGATGGGGAGGGGGCAGATAGATAGAAAAACAAACTGAGGAGGACAGAGTGTTGATTTGCTTTAAGCAGAAGGGCAAAACAAAATCAGTCAAGAGAAAAGGTACAGTAGGGGAAAAAATAGAGCAGAGAAAAATGCAGGAAGCGGAAAGAGGGGTTGAGAGATAGTGAGAGCGTGTCTAAAAGAGAGATAGAGGGCGAGAGAGAAATACAAAGGGAAAAGCCGAGCTTCTAACTTGAGTGATTCCCAGACTGGCTGGCAGTGAGCTCTGATCCACCTGCTCTGATGGGGTTTCAAACCCTTACAAGCAGCGCTGGGGGATCCTTAGGGCAACACTTTTTTCTGCAGTTTTTCTAATTCCCATCTATTGAGCACATCAGCCAACACAGAGTCAGGATAAGCTATCCTCAGCCTCTCTGACAGCAAATGGATCATAAACCGATGACAGACAATACAATCCAAATAAGGAAATTAAGAGAGACCTGAATGCAAACGGCCCGAAGACGACTGGCAGAAATGAGAGGTAGGAGCTTCCTTACAGTTCAATATCGATGTGTGTGTTTAGGTAAAGTTGTGCATGATTAAGTGATTCTCATCAGCTGTGTATTTTATCTGTTTATGTAAGCACAGGAACAATCGTAATTGTCTTGCTGTGCTGAAATTCTAGCTAATGTGAAGTGCAGCTCGCTCTGGGATATGCGAGCATGCAGTTACAAACTTCTTTGTGTTTGCTTTAAGCTTGAAGGGACAGGAAGAAACAAAGTCATTCTCCTGTGCTGACCTCATTCCATAGCTGGTCATAAAGCTTCACTAAGCTGATGTTTATGTGTGAACATGGAGTTTATTTTACAGCAAATGCACCTAACCAATCACATGGAAACTTACATAAACACTCTTCCATGAGGCTCTTTGGACAGACAGCAGTGATAAGAATGCAACTGATACAAGGCTAGCATGACAACATGCAAAATCCTGACTCAGACACGTTGTGATGCTCGATGGGATAAAGATGCATCACAGGAAAGTAGACCTAGAGCCTCGGAATAGTTTGATGATTGTCTGTTTGACAACCCAACACAAAATAGTGACTGCAAATTCTTTGTAGTCGATAGCAATAATTATAATGATCAGTGGCGGATTTAGCAATTTGGGGACCCAATGCGAACACAAACATGGGGCCCCCTGACACAAAATTTTTGACAGTCTTATCTTTAACTGGATTTGCAAAACTCTCCCCTCTTCTTAATGAGTTATTTTCACTCTAATTAGTCCTCCTCTTTTTTCCTGTCTTTCTCTCCCTTTGAGTGCTTTCAATATTTTCTCTGCTTTATTCTTCCTGTCAGTGCTCCTGTGCTTTTGCATTTCATTCTTTTTTCTTCTATTTTCCATTTTGGTCTATGTTTTCCTCCCTTTGAACATTTTCCATAGTCTTTCCTTTTCTGCTTCCTTTTTGTTTACAAAGAAAAACACGTCACTTTTTCAAAGCGAGCTGCTTCTTTCTCTTACTGGAGCCACTAGGATAACTTCATTACATGCTTAATGTTTTGACTACCGCTTCTAGTTTGTTACGAATGCTCCCGCCTTTCTTCTTCTTCTTCTTCATGGTCTTATGGCACTTGGCAAACAACAATTTGGTGCATTACCGCCACCAACTGGATTGGAGCGGAAAGACTGCCAATCACTTACTGTTTGTGCATCGGCGTCTTAAGGGAATAGTCCATTGTGGCGTTGACAGAGGGGTGCCAGCAGTCAGGGCTAGGGCCCCCCCCCCCAACATCAGGGGGCCCCAGGAGGCTGCCGATCTATGCCTAATACCTTATAAATAAAACTTTGATTGATTGATTGATTAATGGTGAAACCGCCACTGATAATGATTCAGTCTAAGCAAGATGAAATGGGGTTGTCAGATCGGTTCTGACTACTTAATTGTTGCGGTTTTACACTTAGGTGATGTTTATCCACAAAATGTTCAGGCAACTAAGGAATTCGCTCTCGGAAATATATTTAAGCCACTCAACAAACACACACACACACACACACACACACACACACACACACACACACACTTACGCTGTTGGCTAAGTGATGCTGATGTGAATGTCCTAATGCCAAATGAAATCTGTGTGAGCGGACTTTGTGGAGCTGATACACATTAGTTCATGATCAAAAACAAAGAGAACCTATTGACTGCTGATGAGATTCAGACAACATAACTGTAGCTCCAGTTATACAGAATAATTTAAAATACTTTGAGAAAGACTCAAAAACATTCTCTCTTCAGAACCTGCAGCAGAATCTGCTGGACGAGCAAGTAATCTTGTTCGCCTTTGAGAACATCCGCGACGCAGCTTTCCTCTTGTATTCAGGCTTTATGATTCAACTTTTGAGCTTGTAACAGTCACAGGCTTGGGTCAGAGCTGCCTTTCAAAAGCCTCAAGCTATTTAAGCCAACGCTAAAAATACAGCTCTAATGTTCCAGAAGGAATGGACATGTGAAGTTATCTCAAAGGGAATTAGACACCCAATATGTGCTGGGTATGGATTTGTGTGTGGGTGAGGGGTTACGGAGCTTTGGTGAAGTCACCAAGCGTCAGTGTCTCAGAGGGTGGAAGGGGGTGAGTGTTGTGAAGTGGGGGTGTATTTTAGTTAAAAGTTTTCTTTAAGCATTTTTAAACTAAAAAAGCGTTTTCAATGGAAATAAAGTGAATTACATATGTAAAAAAAAACAAGTAAGAATGTCTGTCAAAGTCTTTTGGGGACATCAATGCAGAGGGGTCCTCATTAAAGGATGGTTCACTGAGAAATGGTGTAAAACGTGTTATTTTAGATGCACCATCAGACACTCTGAATTGCATTTGCATGCTAAATGTGAAAACTGTCTTCAACCCCATCACCTGCATTAACAGCAGAAAATAAACAGACAAGAAAATGATTGGACTTCTCTAAGTCACAGAGAAAACTGGCATTCATAGACTCACACATCTTGAGTTGCAACGGAAAACAATTGTACCGCCACGTCTCAGCAGATAGAGCCAACCACTAGCAATAGCAACACATTCAGGCTTGGAGATAAAACATCAATGTTTCTTTTATTACCCAACAAAGAAGAGTGAATGATGCCTGTTTTTGTATAGCACCTTCTGGTTCTACAGCCCCCCAAGATGCTTCACAACACAATCAGTCATTCAACCATTCACACACACATTCACATGCTGCTGCTGATGAGCTTCAGTGTAGCCACAGCTGAACCTGGGGCACACTGACAAAAGTGAGACTGCCATACACAGGCGCCACCAGTGCCTCCGACCACCACCACCAGGAAAAGTTGGTTAAGTGTCTTCTCAATGACACAACAGCAGTGTTCTCTGGTGGGAGCCAGAATCAAACCTACAACCTTCCAATCACAAAACAACCCGCTGTGCCTCCTGAGCTACTGCTGTCCTGAATGAAGGCAGTGGAGGAGTTCAATTGTTGTTAGGCAATCAGACAATTTCATGAATATTAATGACTTCGCCCCCATTACTCCGACTTTAACTCCCAGAAATAGGAGCGCAAAAGTGTTTTTCCGCAGAAAATTAGTCGCGAGGCATTCATTCAGGAGACCACAGCTAAGTGTTTGCGTAAACAATTGGTAGACAATCATTTTGAGCATGAGCTAAACATCTATAGCTAGAGTGTGATGGTTGATTACAGTGGTAGTAACACTTTAGAGTTCTGGGTGGAATCTGGTGGGGCAGTAGTGGAACTAGACTTCACTAGAAGCTGCTATGCATTGATTTGGTTTGACAATTTGAAGCAGTACTAACTGCCCTGGCATCATAATGTAAAAACCACCCATCGTGCAGTAAAGTCGTAGCCGGGCCTGCCAGACTTGTCCTCTGTTTAATTCTGCACAGAGAAAGAGTCTGGTAACTCACAGGAAGAGAGGCACTTGTGGGGTGGGACTAGGCAGCTCGAAAATAACCAATCAGAAAAAAGACGTAAATGCCGACTGTACCGCGTGACGCCGTACAGTAGTTTTTTTGTAGCTGTAGTCAAAAATGGCGTCTGCGCAAAAATTTTTTTTTAGCGCTTCTACTTGTTGTTTTAAAGACATTCAAGTAATTTAGAACAGAGGAAAGAGCCGCAGCGAACTCCGCCACTGTCTTAATTATTTATGAGAAACTGAGCATCGCTGTGTGTGTCGTCTGCGACGCTGTAGTTTTTTAGCTGTAGTCAAAAATGGCGTCTGGCAACAGTGCAAACATCTTTCTTTAGAAGAAAGGCTTTAAGTGCTTCTACTTGTTGTTTTAAAGACATGTTCAAGTCATTTAGAACAGAGGAAAGAGCTGCAGCGAACTCCGCTTCAGTTGTCATGTTTATGAGAAACTCTGCATTGTGGTGTGTGACGTATGCTGCTCAGCGCTGAGCTCGGTTACAATTCTCAGGGGGTGGGGTTGTTAGAATAGGAGAGTTCCCAGACCCTTTCTCTGTGCAGAATTAAACAAAGGAGTTTGGCAGGCCAGGCTAGTAGAGTCGTATCAGTGTGGCGTGACCCTAGAGTGCATCCACTTATTGTCCAACATAGTCTTGACAGGATAAGAGGCCTGGGCCCTGGTGTGAAACTGGGCACTAGTGTTGTCAAAAAAATCGATACCTAGATATAAATCGATGCTAAAAGTGGTATCTAAATGAGATATTCCATCCCTGTGGTATCGATATTATGGACTATTATACACAGCCTTCTTCAAGTACACCGACACGCACGACAGCCAGATGCCGTAAAGCAGCCTCCGCCTCCCAGACAAACAGAAGAAGACGCCGCATGGCTACATTGCAATTTCCCACGCGAGTTGTCTCCAATCCAAGTTTTGTCTGTCAAATAAATAAACAAAAACATAAACAGCGAATTTGGGAGGCGCTTCACAGCCCAACTTAATTAGCATACCAAGTCCGACACGTAGTTGTATATTCACGCTTATGTGCTTAAAGGAAAACTCCCGTTTATTGCAACCCGGACTTAATTTCTAGCATGCAGTACGTTTGTTTACTCACGCTGACAACTTTGGTGCTACTTGGATTCCCCGGGGTATTTAGATCCATCGGCGAATCACCGTCTGCGTATATATCCATATAACGGGTGCGGACGGGCACCCATGGTGCAGCCTCGAAATAAGACATTATCTGCACCAAAACATCTTCATGTCGAAAGGTTTTGTTAGGAATCATTAACGTGATTCCCCTGTTCGTTTGGAGCGAGTCTGGGATTTCTAGGCGTAAACAGACTAGCTGCGGCTAATCTAACCGGCGCTTTTAATGACGTCACTGCTGTGCGCCAGTCTGTTTTTATTAAGAGTACCGGTAGATGTGCCTTTGTTCTACTGTGGAGAAGTTTGTTTTCTCCCTTTATTGACCAACAGAGTTGTTCAAAAGTACAGAACAAAGCATGTGGCATTACATCTTATGACAAAAATGCACCTTAAACAGAGTTTAAGCAGCAAAACATCACTCTGCAAATAGTGTATATATAGTGAGACAATTCATGATTTAAAGTGTTAACTTTCACCAGTTTTTGTATGCACGTTTTAAAAAATGCTGATACTTGAAAGGTTTAAGCACTTTATACACTTAATTCTTAACATTTAATTTTTGTAATATAAATTGAGAAATGTTATTTTTTGAATAAACTTGTTCGATAAATGGGTGTTTTTGCTAATAGTATCGAAATCGAGTATCGAGTTTTTTTTTCAAGTATCGAATCGAGTTTGAAATTTTAGTATCGTGACAACCCTACTGGGCACACATGGTATAAGGCCTTGGGAGAATGCCCCTCTGACATATAGATCATGATGATGGTACGGAAAAAGTGAGAAAACTTCTCTGACGAGTACAAAAAATGTAGTAGCATTATGATTGCCTTTGCTCTGACTGAGGCTTTCCACATTTTCCCCATCTATTCCCAACCTGCTAGGGTGTCGATAGCATGGTTTCCCTTCAGAGTTTAGTTAGCCAAACAGCAAGTAACTACTGTGATATTGAAGCCTCAATACATACTCAGCTGTTTATGCAATTGTTTTAAATGATACCACTATGCAAAATTGCAAATATATTGCTAATGCTATATTCGATTTCTTTGTCTCCACAGTGATTTTAGTGTATGCCCTCCTCTGCCCCCTGTCTTTGTCACATGGCTGTCCAAAGGAGTGCAGCTGCAACAGCAACACCAAAGTAGTAGACTGTCGAGGTCGAGGACTTTTTGACATCCCTCGACGACTGGATCCAGAGACCCAGGAACTGCATCTTCAGGATAACCGAATCAGGGGGTTGGGATCAATGGCTTTTAGGGAAATACCTCGTGTTCGAATTCTTGACTTATCCAATAACTCTATAACATCCATTTCACCAACTGCTCTACTTGGTTTGAGGACTCTGCAGCACCTCAGCTTGGCTTATAACAGTCTGCGAGAGCTTGACAAGCGACTCCTTGGACCCATACACTCACTGTCGCACCTCGATCTCTCGCATAACAGGTGAACACTTAAAAATGTCTCCTTTTTTTGTCTTGTGATTTCCCTGAATCTAAATTATTCCTCCTAATGCTCTTCTGATAGCTTGTGGGGTTTGCCTGGAGCCATCGGGGAGAGTTTGAGGAATGTCAGCTACCTGGGGCTGGCAAACAACAGGCTAACAAGACTGGACCGTACACTGCTTGAGGCCGTGACCAGCCTGGACAGCCTCACTCTAAGAGGCAACCCCTGGAGGTGTGACTGTCAAATTTTGAGCCTCAAACTCTGGCTGGAGACCTACCTGTTTAAAGGTTAGAGCTTTAGAAATTTTAGAAAGTAATTTCCTATAAGTAGCCCATGAAAACTTGTCCCAATTCAAATAGCTAATTTTGCATTTTGCTCTGATTTGGATAGTTACAGTAAAAAGTACAAAGCAAATGTGTGAAAGGCAGCAAAAGAAAGAAGCAGACCAGGGACTCAACTGCAGAAGCCCCCCCCCCCCCCCCCCCCCACACACACACACACCCCCACACCCCAATGTGGTTTGTGCCTTAACCACTCAGCCGTTATGCTTTACATCGGCAGAGCTGTTTTGAACACAACCAGTTATTCTAGAGCTATGCAGGATGGACATTGAGCAATTTTATTGTATAATGTCACTTTTATTTCTTAACTGATAGAAAGGTTGACATATATAATTATAGAAAACGGTACAGAGTGCCATCCGTCCATACTGTTTCATACACTTGTCTTGAGTCGGATAGCAGGGCAGCATCCTCCCTCTCAGACTTCCCTATCTCCAGCCACTTGGGCCAGCTCCTCCGGTGGAATTCCAGGGTGTTCCCTGGCCAGCTGAGAAACATAGTCCCTCTAGCATGTCCTGTGTCTTTCTTTGGGTCTCCTCCCAGTTCGATGTGCCCGGAAAACCTCACCAGGGAAGCATCCAGGATGTATCCTAACCAGATACCTGAGTCACCTCAAGTGAGCCCTCTCGACACGGAGGAGCAGCGGGTCTACTCTGTGAACCTCCTGGATGATCGAGCTTCTCACCCTATCTCTAAGGGAGAGCCCAGACACCCAGCAGAGAAAACTCATTTTGGCTGCTTGTATCCGTGACCTTGTTTTTTGGTCACTACCCAAAGCTCATGACTGTAGGTGAGGGTAGGAACGCAGATCGAACAGCAAATAAAGAGTTTTGCTCTCTGGTTCTGCTCTTTCTTCATCAAGACAGACCGGTACAACACCTGCATCACTGCAGAAGCACCAGTTTGCCTATCGATCTCATGCTTCATCTTTCCCTCACTCGTGAAGACCCTGAGATGCCTCCACTTGGGGCAGGACCTCATCCCTGAACTGGAGAAGGCATTCTACCCTTTTCTGACTCAAAATCATGTTCTCAGATTTAGAGGCACAGAGTTAAGATTTGTATTATTTAGGTAATATGGAAGACGCTTGTGTGGCTGTGAACATCTCCCTCTAAAATGTGTGTGCACCATCTAATATTGTGACACTTGCTGTTGAACCATCACTGCGAGTGATGGTTCACGCAGTGAGAGGAACCTGTGCTGCAACTCTTATTTCAATGATGGCAATATACAGCCAGAAGCAGTATATTAATAGCCATGCCTTATTATTTCCTGTGCAAGAACAAGCACAGCATGCAATGAAAAACTAAATTACTACTGCACAGCGAATGCTGGGCTTTCATGGACTGTAACGGCACGCCTACTTGTCTATGTTGCCCTGGCAGAAATTTCGTCTTCCAGGGTGAAAATTCTAATTGCTGCAAAAAAAGAACAATGGATGCAGATACAGAGATCTGTGCTCAATTGAAAGCTAGTGGTTAACCAGGCAGGAAGAACGAACACATGTGACAGAGGAGGCCACACATGAGAGAGATAAGTAGAGATTTAGAAACGGAACTGATGGAAGTTTTTCTTTCATTCTTTCTTTTATCACTTGGTTCAAGTGATCCAGCGGAGTCTATCTGAGCCCTTAATCACATTGCATAATACTTTACCCATATTGCTAATTCCACATTTAATTACAGATTAAAATGGGCTACTTTAGGCTCAGCCACAGTGATTATTACTAAAATATAATTCAAATGCTAAACGAAAGTTGGCTTATCTGTCTTTATGTTAAAATCTTAGATTATTCTACCACTGTTTTGATTTTTTTCTCAAATCTTTAACTGATGTCAAGGTGGAGTGCTGGATGAAGTTCTTTGCTTCCAACCAGAAGAAATGAAGGAGAAAGACTTGCAAAAAATCCCTTATCAGCTCTTCCATACCTGCATGACAACAAGCTATCATTACCTGTTTGCCAACATTCAACACCTGGAGTCTGAGAGGCTGCAGCGAGGTCACACCCATGGCAACAATGCTCATCCTTCCAGCCACTCTCTTCACGTCCCCATGGCGATTGGGGAGGGTTTTGGTGGTGCTGGGAGAGGAGGAGGAGGACCCATGGCGGAGTGTGAACCCAAGCAGAAGCAGCGGCCTGTCAACTTGCGCCACGCTATTGCCACAGTGATCATCACCGGTGTGGTGTGTGGGATCGTGTGTCTAATGATGCTGGCTGCAGCAGTGTACGGATGCGCCTACGCTGCTATCATGGCCAAATATCAGCGGGAGTTAAAGAAGAATGAGGAACTGGCTGCAGCGCGGGGGGCAGAGCATGCCACAGCAGATGAGAAGGAACCACTGGAGAATGCTATTGCCTAGGAGACTCCTGACTTAGGCCTCCACCCTTTAACACTAATGTCTCTGGTTGCCATGTGTGGACTTGTACCTATTTGTACGTAAAAACAGAATATACTGAAACTAAAAAAGTGATATTATATTTATTTTTGCATAATATCTCCTCATATCTGAGACTTGGGTAGCTAAATTCTACAAGTATTTGACTATGCACTGATAAGAAGAGACTCTGTTAATGTTTGACAGGCAGGGCAAATAATTCAAACTTAAAAATTTAGTTGTGAAACATGCATATCACAGAAAACTGCTATATATTTATAAATGTATATTTTTGAGTATTTGTAATGTAACTTTCTGGAATTTATTGAAATGGTTTTAAAGTCTTGATGTCTTTTGGTTGTTCATCATAATTTTAAAGCTGTTTATGACTCATAGTAAATAATCCATAGTAGGCAGCTGTTCTCAATAAAGTCCCCAATTTGTTTGTATCAGTGATGTGTTTTTGAAAACGAGACTGTGTTTTCTAGTGTGTGTGTGTGTGTGTGTGTGTGTGTGTGTGTGTGTGTGTGTGTGTGTGTGTGTGTGTGTGTGTGTGTGCATTTGTAAGAAGATGTATTCTGTATGCACATGTTACAGGGATCTTTATGTGTCTGTGCCTAAAATACTTAATTTTGTGAAGAAAAAATATGTTTTCTAAAAGATTTTTTTCTGGTAACTGAAGTGAAAATGTAAAATTTGTTGAAGCAATAATGAAACAACCTAACATGAAAACAACTAAAATGCCTGGTTTCAGTCTTTTTTCTCAGTTTCAGCCTTTTGACAGGTTTAAGAGTTCATGTCGTGCATCTAATACCTCCATAAACATGCAATTTTTGTAAAAATGCTGCATCCTTACATGAAGAAAAACTTTTTAATGCAATGTTAAAGGACATAGGCATAGTGTTTTGGACGGAGGACGTCAGTTAGCTTTCTGCTCTAAGGGCGACAAAAAAGAGCTTTTTTGATAATTTGTGCATGAAGTTTATTTACTGATATATTTTACAAATCTAAAAGTATTCATAGTAAATTATAAACATTAATCTTTGTTGGATTTTTTTGTGATGTCTGTCTTAGTCATAGAGCTCCAAAGAGAACTGTTTTTTATCCATTACATCCAAAAGTTATTGAATGAGTTGAAATTGTTTGCAGTTTTTTGCAAACTGTCTTTTTTTATAAGGTGTATTGCTATCAAAAGTGATAACCCGTCTGTGCATCCATCCATTTTCAGCTGCTTATCGCATGGGGCAGTAGCCTAAACAGGGAGGCCCAAACTGCCCTCTCCACAGCCATTTACGTGCGCCCCTCCTAAGGTGTCCAATGGCCAGTCGAGAGACATAGTCCCTCCAGCATGTCCTGGGTCTTCCTTTAGGTTTTCTCCCAGTTGGACGTGCCTGGCAAACCTCACCAGGAGGCATCCTAACTTGATGCCCGAGTTATCTCAAGTGGTTACTCTGGATGTGCAGGAGCAGCAGGTCTACTCCAAGCCCCTCCCAGAGGACCGAGCTTCTCACCCTATCTCTAAGGGAGAGCCAATCCACCCTGCGGAGAAAACTCATCTCAGCCGCTTGTGTCTTGTTTTTTGGGTCACTACCCAAAGCTCGTGACCATATGGTGAGGGTTGAAACGTAGATCAACTTGTAAATTGCGATCTTAAAATAAACATAAAATTTTAACAGAAGCAGGATAAATTCTGCTGACTGAGATTTTTTTTTTCCTTCATGAAATTGGTGAACATTTGGTGTTAATTTAAAGAAAAATAGTCAGTTGCATTAATTTTTTTCTGTGTTACTTTTATTCATACTGACACAAGTGCAAAATCTGAATGTTTTACAGGGTTATACATTACTGAGACTTCTTTGGACGAGCATGCAGGTACACAGCTGCCTTGGGTCTTTATGCCTGACCTGACTCAAATATGATTTTGTGTGTTTTACGTCAGCAGACTCACTGCACGTGGCTCGGGATGTGACCACAAACACTGACACACACAAACTGACATGCAGGCGTGCACACGTCTGTACGTACATGCAAACGAACACTGCAGCTTTAGTGATGTCTGCAGGGCCAGTGGTGTGTGATGTCATCAGCCTGTCCTGTTTAGTTAGTGTGTTGGCGTATTCACAAGTCTACAGCTCAGTGGAGCGCAGGCCAGTGAAAACTGGCCCTAACCGGCCTACACTAAATTTGCATTCTAGCCTACATCTCTACTCTCTTCTGACATGCTTACATAAAGTCATCCTTATTACATATCTAGTCATAATTGTGATCATTATTGCTATATTTTAGAAAATTTAATTCTTCAGTTTGCTTCTCAAAGAGTTTATGAAATGCTTTGATGCTTAACGAGCAAATAAATTAGCAGGGTCAGGTTATCCTGTGAAACCTGATGTATATTCTTCCTCACACAGAAGAGAAGCAGTTTAGATGTGTGTGTGTGTGTGTGTGTGTGTGTGTGTGTGTGTGTGTGTGTGTGTGTGTGTGTGTGTGTGTGTGTGTGTGTGTGTGTGTGTGTGTGTGTGTGCACATGGTGGCATTGTACAGACTCTGTCGTTCTTCTGCTCCAGTGGTTTCCCCTAGGCAAAGTCTACCCACAATGCATTGCTTTCATGTCAACATATCTAGACACAGTGAAATTCTTTATTTTCTCTTTTACTGCCCTTTCTCTAACAATCTAATTGTAAATTTGCATTTCTGAAATGATCCTCTCCTCTTCTGTTTATCAGTGTTTTTTACTATTTAAACATTATTATGTGATTACGATGTTTGTGCAACCTAATTTATCAAAGAGATGCTGTAAACATTCAAAGATACTTTTAAACATTAGGATTGTTGCTGCATGGTACATTGATCATTTGTGCAGTGGACAATGTTGTAGATGTTAAAATTGCAAAGACTTAATTTTAAAGAGATTCACTAAATCAAGCAAAGCATTGATCACAGCTGGAGTACAAGCTTTAGTCACAATAACCCCTTCTTTCCACCAGCCAAGAAAGTAGTTATGTAACATAATTATGGTGTTTTACCAGCAAGCTCAGAGCAATTCTGACGTGAAATAGGAGCGAAAGCGCTCCACACAGCTGATCCCGCGAGGACACAAAATCATGGGAGAATGGCAACACCATGCATGATTTCAGAAGTCCACATAATAAAAAGCTAAGAGAAAGACAGCTGCACGTATCCTAAAAAGGCTGTGGTTTATTTTCATTTCTGCTTACATCAGTTTCACAGGAAAGGACACATTGTGTGCTTTTATTTAGAAAGTTTCCAGATCTTTTACACTGATTTTGTGTGACTTCCTGTCTGGCCAGTACTCAACTGCAGAATTTTACATGTTTTGGAAGCGTAATGCATAAAAAATAGACTTGAGACGTAATGATAGCACCCTTTTGAATCTGGGACATGTCCCAGATCACACTTGGCTGCCGGTGGAACGGAAATTGCCCACTACAACGGTGGCTAATTGCCGTGTAATACATGTCGTGGCTGTTTTGCGGTGCTTTCACGTTCAGTGGAAAGAAGGAGTAACACTTTTAGCTACCTTGGTAGACTTTATCTACAAGTGGCGGTGTTTATTTTCTCCATCAATAGGGTGCAGTACATAAAAGGGCTGGACGATAATTCAATAGTTGTACATATCTATCGATAGACGTGGTGCGATAGACAAAAAAAGGTCAATAAAACTTTGATAATAAAGTTTCCTTTTATCATAATGAGGTAGCAGCATGCTAGACTCACTACTTACTCCTAACCAGTCAAAACCACAGACTCGGGCACATTACTTTACCAGGCCCTCCCCATCTCAAGCCAAAACAATGCATGAGGCAGCAAGATGTCTCAGCGAGAAGAGGCAAAGAAAAAATAAAAATATCAAAAATTAAATGGCCAGGGCTGCACGTTAAATATATTTTCTACTATTTTTTAAATATTTTTTAAATAATTATCGATATTGATAAACATATTGTTATCAATATACTTTTTTTCTATATCGTCCAGCCCTAGTACAAAACCAAATCACTGCAAGGAAGCAGTATTTTTGTGTTCGAGGAAGACCTTACCAATGGATGGCCATTAGGGTAAAAAATCTCCGGGAGCGCAACTTCCAGAAAAACGGCAAGCACATCAGACTCCCTTTCATCACTGGCAACAAGCAAAGAGGTTTGTAACTGCTTGTTACAAATCAGCACATGCGTTTTGTCCTCACAGCTCACATAGAAGGAAACACGGCGCCCAGAGACTTAGACCCACTCCCATGTATTTTAGACCCAATTTTTATGGTTATAAGTTAGGAAACTGCCATTATTTTGCAACAACTGGGCATCATTTAAATCATTTTCAACTTTTCGATGGGTATTTCCAGAGATTAACAGTAGATTAACAGTTCTCTTATTTCCCTCTGGGATTAATAAAGTGTTCATTGATCGATTGATCAATTGATTGATTGATTGATTGATGATTGATTGATCGATCGATCGATCGATTGATTGATTGATTGATTGATTGATTGATTGATTGATTGATTGAAAATACACATTGTCTCTTTAAGAGTACTTAAGTCTTCTTTGATGATTTTGAAAAGGTTGTTTTTGGAATTTTCATAAAAAGATGAAAGACATCTATTATATTTCTTTATTTTCATTTAGTTTGCTCATTTCTACAATTTGATCTGCTGTCTTGTTCTTTTGGGTGATAAACAAAACAAATACCACATGGTAACATTACGTGCAAAAAGCATCATATTGCATTGTACAGTAAATGTGCACTATTTGGGGGCTTTATACAGTAGGTATGTGTTTATGAGATGGGTCAGGCCACAATAATCAAAAGCTTTTAACAGGAACACAGGCTAATGTGCAATGTGAGTTTGTGAAACTGGAAAATTTTCACTTGTTTAAAAGTATTTCTCCCCATCTGTATGAACATGTCTATGCTGTGCAATGTCCTCATGCAGCATACACAAATACAAAAGCTGCACCATTAGAGCATGTGGGCAGAAAGTGTTTCAGCTTAAAAGGAAAGAAAAAAGTAGGGGGGAGGACAACTGCAGAGCATGAATGAGAACATTGGAGTCTCTAGCATAGAGGAGATGTAAGAGACAGAGAGAAAGAGACACTTGAATTCCCACTTACCTGCCGCTATAGGAGATTCCCTCTCATCCAGAAGCTGAATGGCAGTGCTGGCCAATACAACACTTTTGTTTTCTGATCCTGAACCACACAAACGCAGGAAGAAAACAAGGATGAACAAAAACAGACATATACACACGGTCAGAATATTTGTTATCATTTGTAATTTTAGACCCAATTTCAACAGCCAGTGATTGGACTGAGAAATGCTCAACAGAAAGACCAGAGAGTATAATTTTATTGCTAAAGCTAGCACAGACCTTGGAGGAAAAGTGTGTCCAAGGCACGTAAATAAGAGGCTTTCAGATCACCTGTATTAGCTGGCACTAATGGAGAGCCTGGGGCTGAGAATAGATGAGAGCACATTCTTCCTTTGGAGGATGGAGTATTTCTTAGAGACACTGTTAAACTAAACATGCCTGTGTGTGTGTGTGTGCGTGCGTGCGTGCGTGTGTGTGTGTGTGTGTGTGTGTGTGTGTGTGTGTGTGTGTGTGTGTGTGTGTGTGTGTGTGTGTGTGTGTGTCCTTTTGTAGCTGTGTGATCTGGGCAGTCACTATGGAAAGAGGCTAACCTCGTTGTAGCATACCATATACAATATCAACCCTCAGTAATTAGTCATATCCATATACAAATGGGCCAGAATTAATGAGGGAGGAAGAAATGTGAACACACATAAAAATAAATGAACCATTCTGGATAAAGGGAGATAAAAGTACTGAGAAAATGATAAATTGAACAAAAATATCTTCATCCCCTGATAAGATTATAAACTATGCAACTTTAATGATTGATCTCAGTGATATCTAAAAAATTTAAACTTAAAATAACAACACAGAACCCAATATTAGCTACATTTTCGGCCTGCAACAATAATACATGGCTAAAATCCAAAGTCGCTGATAAACTTGCCTTTACTAAATAATCCAAACATACCTGCAGAATTAGTGGATAGAACTTTATCCAGATGGGCGGAAAGAGGAGTACAAGTACTTGGGCAAGACACTTAACCCGCCTTTCCTGCAGGTGGTGGTCAGAGGGACCAGTGGCGCCTGTGCTCTGCAGCCTTGCCTCTGTCAGTTTACCCCAGGGCAGCTGTGGCTACATTGTAGCTCATCACCATCAGTGTGTGAATGTGTGTGAAGTAGTAGTCCTCTGACTATGAAAGGCGCTATAAAAGTGTGGATCATTTATTATAATTTAACATAACTTTGCGAGTTTGTGGCCAACAGCTGGTTGCTGATAGCCTAGTGAACGAGACCAAATTCTTGCTTTGCAAAGAATGGTCTAGGCATGCTCCACTGGAACCTCAGCAGCTCCTACCAGGACTCTGGCTAGCTAATCACAGCTCTCTAGAGGGGTTTCAAACACATAAAGAGCTGTGATTGGTCCATAATGGTGGGCCAATTATAGTGCTCTATCTGCTTAGTGAACAAATCACAGAGCTTTATCCGCTTTGTGGGCCAATCAGGGTACTCTATATGCCTGGTGGGTGGGATGATGCAACAGAGTGAAACAAGAGTATGTCACATTCATTGTCCAGTGGAATGCGGAGATCATTTGAAAGACAACGGTAGAACCCGCCCCACAACCGAGAGCCGTCAATGGAGCATGGCCAGACTAAATAATACATTTATTTAGTCTGGCTTGCCAGGCTAGGTTGCTGACCCTAGAATATGAATACTGGGGGATGTAACGTTAATGACCTCAAATAATAAATAATAATTTTGTTCTGCTAGCAGCGGCTGGGGTCAAGAAATGTATAATCGGACAAATGTAAATCCCCCCAGCCAGCATTACTTTTGTTTTATTGCACTGCGGAATAAATATTGTGGAACACTAAAGAACTTTGCTCTTATTTGGACACATTTTCTGATTAATAAATAAATTAGATATGACAACAGACTGAAATGTTATATCTGCATATTTGTACTTACCTATGTCCTTCTTAGGCCAGTCATTCTCTCATTTAAAATGTTTAGGAGGTGAAAGAAAAATAAACTCACCAGCATTTGTGAGGAGATAGGCACCCCTACTTATTATGTATTTATAATAATAATAATAATTATTATTATAATTATTATTATTATTATTGTTGTTGTTGTTGTTGTTGCCGTTCTTCACTGGGTGGTTTTGTTTGTATTTGGGTTTGTTAAAATTGGAAAATTAAATAAAAAAAAGTTAAAAGAAATGCCAAACTAACCTGTGTTGAATGGTAGAGAGTAGATAAAAGTACCAGGAACTTGTTCTGCTGCTCTTTTATACCAAAGGGGAAAGTGATCAGCATTGAACACCCCCTCTTTGTCTTCAGCTGTTAGGAAGTCTCTTGCAAGAGAAAAAAAAATGATGCAAAAGATGCACACATAGTGCATGTAAATGTAAATAGTCTGCATCATTTACTACATATTTATGCTATGCAAACACACACACACACACACACACACACACACACACACACACACACACACACACACACACACACACACACCCTCTCAGTTTACTTACTGGTTTGTAAGTTCATCTGGCAACACAAACAGATTAATTCTGGACATTCCTGTTCTTGTACCCAGGAAGGCAATCTCGACACCTTTATCAGAGTTCCTAAGTAAGCAGATACATTTGTGATGGAATCCATGTATGTAAAAAACTTTTAACTTGTGAAAAAAAAATCCAAAGAAAGTAATATTGGATGTTTTCTTTAACAATAATGTGTTCAAATATTACCCAATAATGGACTGAATGCATGACATACTCTGATTTGTTGAGCACGAGGCTGGTCCAGTAAGCTTCCAGTGGAGCAGTCACCACAGCGTCAAACAAAACCTCCTGAATCAGCTCCTTGTCACCTGGCATGGGAACAAAAAGGGAAATAAATAATGAAGAATATAAGATGTTTAACCTGCAAGTGACCAATACACACAAAAGGTAGGAACACTAATCTGACACTAACATTGTAAACGAGGTTCATGTCCACTGAGGTACATTTTTATTGCTTCTATTTGAGACAGGTAGCGGTGCTCAGGGTGTTCATCTGTGTTGCAGTATGTCCTGAAGCATGGCAGAAGAAGAGAAAAATAGGTTATTTTCATTTTTCTAATTAAATTCAAATAGGTGTTCTTAGCTGGTGACTTTGGATAAATATAAATGGTAAATGGCCTGTATTTGATATATTGCCTTCTAGAGTCCTGGAACCCCCCAAGGTGCTTTACAACACAGTCATTCACCCACTCACACACACACATTCACACACTGGTGGGGATGAGCTACGATGTAGCCACAGCTGCCCTGGGGCGCACTGACAGAGGCGAGTCTGCCGAGCGCTGGCGCCACCGATCCCTCTGACTACCACCAGCAGGCAAGGTGGGTTAAGTGTCTTGCCCAAGGACACAATGACAGCGACAAACTGAGCGGGTCTCAAACCTGCAACCTTCCGATTATGGGGCGAGCACCTGTGCCCCCGTCGCCCCAAATAGCAAGTACATTTGATTTGGAACACACTTGAGCTAGTGGTTAGCACGTGATTCCTATCAGAATTGATCTCTAATTCTGCTATCGATGAGATATCAGCAGAAAATCCATTTATTGAACATCTTTATTTTGCATTTACAGTCCAGCAAGCTATCGTTATTAAAGAACATTTGTATTAACATGTTAAGTAAATGATTCAGCAAGACCCTTAGGACCTAAACCCAAGCATTCACACAACTCAAAGAGGATGCTAATGTGGCTCTTACCACTCATCTGCCAGTGCTACATCAGGGTGCTCCAAGTCATGAAGTCCTGTAACAGAATAAAAAACTAAGTGTCTGACAACAAATAAACAAGTGTCTTTTATTAATTCATAACAACAAGAGTGACTAAACAGACATGCATGCACAAATGCATTCACACACACTAACACACACACCAATTGAAAAATGTGTTTTTTGAGTGGATGTGACACGTCTGATTAGATCAGGAAGAGCCAAGTCATGCTCAGAGAGCTCTGCATGATGGACATGTTTAGAGAAACACATAGAGACACACACAGACAGTGCCACATGAATATTAACACACAGATGGTTTGACATGAAAGTAAACAGAAAAACAGACAGGCAGAGACATGGACCGAAGGACAAGGACACATAGTTACTTATTCAACTTGCCAACAGAAAATAAAAATGATGAATGTAGTTTGAGCCCATTATAACCTGTTAGAGCTAAGATTAATAGGGGGAGCTGCAATGAAAGGAAACTCAAAAGACCCGTTGGTGCTTTAGTGTGCAATAAACCCACTGATACCAGAAATGCTTCCTATATTTCTGAAAGATACCATATTCATCCATAAGATTAAACTTTACTGGTGTTTCGGTAAAACTACAGGGTTTTGTCAACCATTTATTCAATAAATCTTTTGACAAAATCAAAAACAATAAAATGTTAAAGATGACTGCAGTGTCACTAATTTCAGAAGTGCAGATTACTTTGGATAAGTCATCTGAAAACATGCGTATGTTCACCATTTTTAATCGTTGAGGATTTCTGTCTTAAGTTTTCTGGTTGTTTACTTTTCCCACTCATATTTTGCTCCTACGATGAATGCTATTGCTGCTGTGACACCAGAAGGTCCCAATGAGGGTGTTAGAGCTAAAAGACGCATCTGTGAACCAAGGTCGTACGTGCTTTGCAGAATGTCAGCATCCTGTTTTTTAGTCAAAGTTTGAGATCAGTTCCAGTAAGAATATGTATCTGAACTCAACAGCAGGCAGATGTATCCGGTTTTGTAAAATGAGTTTTGTTCTTTATATAATATAATGGTTTGCCTGCAATGTATGCATGTAAGGTCCATTTCCTGGTTATGCAAGGCTGACGTCAGTAAAGTCTTGAAATAGCTCCGACTTGATATGAATGGAGGATTTTCGAGAAGATTATGGCCGAAGGCTCTTGGCTTTTGGCAGCCCGCTGTCCTCAAAACTTGTCTGAATCAATAAAAAGGAACCCACAAGGGACATCAAAGAGATATTCTATTCTATTCTATTCTATTTGTGTTAGAACAATATGTATCAATTGATCATATATTGCATTTTTATTTGTTATATTAGACTTTTGAAGTTAGAAAGCAGCAGAGTTTTATTGGTCTGCAAAGCTTAAATCAGAAGTAATAATGAACTATTACTTTAAAGCAATATGCTAATAGTCAAAAAGCATTATCCATGCTGTGATTTTATTTAACAGTTCAAAAACGTGCACCATTGCAGCAGGGTAAAGACATCATTTGGCCAAATAAATTAAACCAGAAGAAAACCTTCAAATGAGGAAAAAAATAAAAAAAATACAAGAAACACGTCCCTACCTTCTTCTACAGTAACGTTCCCTCTGAAGAAATATTTCCCATGGCCTCTGGAAAGACCAACCCCTAGACTAAAAAAAAAAAAAAAAAAAAAAAAGCCGTGAAATAGCTAAATCTTATCTTTAACACAGATTTAGATGAACGTGTACTCCTTACCTGAAAGGAGTCCCTTTAATGTCTGTGTAGTAGTAATCGTTGTGTAAAATGAGTACACGTTTCTGAAATAAAGAGTAACAAACTCTGTCAGACATTGCAGTGAATATTTAGCTGAATTAAAACTTTTATCTGATGTGATTCCTTGCGATCTATTGCCATCTCGTGGTAGAAAGAGGGCATTGCAGTAGACCAACCTGGATATGTCCAGCTAGATGTGTGTGTGTGTGTGTGTGTGTGTGTGTGTGTGTGTGTGTGTGTGTGTGTGTGTTCAGATTGAGATTAAAAATGTGTTTTTACATTTACGTGAGTCCATGTGTGTAGTTTTGTGCTTACACACTGAATGCTTAATAATCAGACTATACAGTAGTATGCTGTCTGAGCTTAGAAAATGCTAAGTACCTACACACATGCAGAGACAGACAGACACCTGAAAGCCGGTCTACATCCGAGACAGGCGAGTGAATCACTGAGAGGCGGCGTCTCCTGTATTCAGCAGCATGTGCTTGGTGCAGATAAGGGGCTCACACACAGACACACAGTGGCGCATGCCAAGCAAACCGAAAAGGAAACAAAATCCCCAAGTCTGACCAATGTGCCGCTGTGCCAGGTTTAACAATCCTTTGGATGAGTGGATTCTCACTGCTGGGTATTTTCTCTCAGACGCCTTTTGGAGGCTCCCTAAAAGGAGATGCTTGTTTGGCAATTCTACACATTTGATTTGACATTTCTCACCCCTTTGTCGACGCTTTTTGTCACCTCCATAGAGAAGGTTCCTGTCTTCCTGTTGACCATGGCGTTTCTCAACTAGAAGCACAAGGCAGACACACAAACTCTTGTAGAGCAGATTGATATTTAAAGGACTTGTGCAGTGGGGCTTCATGTGGATTTATTGGTGGCTCACCGTGTCGTCCTTATCCTCCCATTCCACCTCGGACAAATCCACACTGCTGTAGTTCGGCTTCCTTCGCTTCTTGCCATCTCCGTACTTGATAGAAAGCAAAGCAACAGTAAAAATTGCATTTAATTTCAAGCTTTAGTTTTTTTATTTCCTATTTGGTCTATTTGCGTCTAAAATGTAAAAACGTTGCTCAAGAACCACTGTGGTTGTGTATTGCAGATAAGAACCAGTATGCCAGACTAGCCTTTTACTCCAACATATCTGTATGGCCACAAGAAGATTGGTAAAGCCTTTCAAAACAGGTGACATTGTTCAACCAACTTGGGCCTCACACAAAAACTCTAAAAATGTACTTCTTACTAGTGGTCTCACGTTTCAAAAGAACCAAGAAGAGTTGGGTGGGTCAGGCCATTTATCTTTGAGCTCTTTTGTCAGTCACCTTGCATTCATACTGAATCTGATTTCACATGCCTATCCTTGAAGAAATTATTTTCCAGAAATTGACTTTGAGCCTTGAAAGTAAATTTTCAGATGTTTTTAAGTCCTTTCAAACCCAAATGATCCACAAAATCCATCCCTCCTGACACGTATGCTCATGCTAGCGCTCCCCCTGTGTGTCATGAACTCCTCCTCTTAACCTCCTCTGCGGGCCGGGCTGGTGCTGCACTCCAGTTCCCAGCATGCCTGTCACCGACGCTTCCCGGTGACGTCATCCCGCTGAGCCTATTTAAGGACCTGTCACAGCGGAGCCGGCACTCAGTCATCATCTAACGATAGACGCCAAGCCATTCTAAGACCTAAGACACTAACTCTACGAACCATACGGGAAGAGAACTTCCCACGCTGCCACATATCAGTCTCCATCCACCATTCTCTCCGCGCCTGGGTCTCATAACCACTCCAGCTCAGCCCATCGAACCTGACAGGATGACTGAGTCCCGAGTAGACCCAGCGGAGATCGCACAGCTGCGAGCTGAGGTAGCGCAGCTGCTCAGCCGAGTAGAACGCCAGGAGGCGGACAACGCCCAACTCCGTGTGGAGAACAATCAGCTGCGTGCTGTTACTGATCGCCTTGCATCCAAACTCGATTCCGTCACCGAACTGGTAGTCCAACTCTCCTCAGCCCTCCAACGACAGTCATCTGCCACTCCTAACGTGGTGGAGCCGTATCTAAGTCTCCCAGAGAAATGGGATGGGATTAAAGGATCCCCGGAGAGCATGTTGGCCGTTCTGTCAATGACTTTTGAGTGTCAGCCGGCACGCTACCCGACTTCCTGCTCTCGCGTGGCTCTGTTAACCTCCCTGCTGACTGGGCGAGCCGGTGAATGGGCGGCTGCTCTGTACCATCAGAAGTCCCCAGTCTGCAACGACTATGAAGCCTTCGTGAAAGAACTGAAGAAGGCATTCGTTCATCCCAGCAGCGAGGTCGCAGATGAGACACGCCTGCTCCAGCTTCGACAAGGCTCTCAGACCGTGGCCGAATTCACCTCACGCTTCCGGACCACTGCTGCCCGTCTAACCTGGGGTGATGCCGCGGTGAAGGCTGTGTACTTGGAGGGATTGTCACCCCGCATCCGTGAGGGCATGATTGGTCACGAGGCTCCAACCACCCTGGACCAGGCGGTGGACCTGGCTCTCCAGCTGGACAGCTGCCTCCTCACCAGACCAGGAGTGAGGGCGGTTCCCGTACAATCCCGAACTTTCCCCCGCTGTCAGGAGAACCAACCCATGGAGGAACCCATGCAACTGGGTCATTTGCCCCCCGAGGAACGGGCGCGCCGTTTTCAGGAGGGACGATGCGCCTATTGTGGGGCTCTGGGTCATCCCCGTGCAACATGCCCCATACGCCCGGGAAACGGTCCCTCCGGGTCGGTGTAGGAGCTGCCTCACTCGGAGTTTCCACTCATGCAGCTCCTCATCACACCACCCTCTCGGTCTCCTTCCAGCTGAGCCAAGGACCGGTCCCCCTGGTGGCCCTCCTCGACACCGGAGCTGCAGAAAGCTTTATCGACCAGGGTTTGGTCAACCGGCTCAAGATTCCACTCACCCTCCTCGATCATCCCGTTCCCGTCACCTCAGTGGACGGGCGCCCTCTCATGCCATATCCGATCACGCACCGAACCCAGAACCTCCGGATGACCATCGGAGAACACGTAGAGACCCTTCATTTCTTGGTCATTCACGCCCCTACGACTCCTCTCATTCTGGGTCATTCCTGGTTCCGCCTCCACGACCCTCACATCTCCTGGTCCACCAGTAAAGTCATGGCATGGGGTGTTAACTGTCGCCTTCATCATCCGTCTCCAGGATCACAGCCTAGGGAGACACCACCCAAGGATGTGGATTTAACACTCCTTCCAGGATCACAGCCTAGGGAGACACCACCCAAGGACATGGATTTAACACTCCTTCCACCCCAATACCACGATCTGGCTCGGGTCTTTGCAAAGGAGTCTACCACCAAGCTGCCTCCTCATCGCCCCTACGATCTGGAGATCAGGCTTCAGCCCGGAACCACCCCGCCTCGGGGTCGGCTGTTCTCGCTCTCCCCGGCAGAGACCCAGGCGATGGACGCTTACATCAATGAGGCTCTCCAGAAGGGGTTTATCCGACATTCCACGTCTCCTGGGGCGGCAGGGTTCTTCTTTGTGAAGAAGAAGGAAGGTGACCTCCGGCCCTGTATAGACTATCGTGGGTTGAATAAAATCACCATCAGGGACCGCCATCCTCTTCCCTTAATGAGCACGGCTCTGGACGCCACTGCCCAAGCCACACTGTTTACCAAGCTGGACCTCCGCAGTGCATACAACCTCATCCGCATAAAGGAAGGAGAGGAGTGGAAAACCGCTTTCATTACACCCACTGGACATTATGAGTACCTGGTCATGCCCTTCGGCCTCTGCAACAGCCCTGCCGTTTTCCAGCGTTTCATCACTGATGTCCTCCGTGACATGCTGGGTCGTTGGGTTTTTGTTTATTTGGACGACATCCTCATCTACTCCCGCACGGCCGAGGAACACACCCAGCATGTTCGAGCCGTTCTGTCACGCCTCCTGGAGCACGACTTATTCTGTAAACTGGAGAAGTGTGCTTTTCACCAGGAGTCCACCTCGTTTCTGGGATTCATCATCTCCTCCCAGGGCCTGCGCATGGACCCACAGAAGGTTCAGGCGGTCGCGCAGTGGCCACTACCCAAGACCCTGAAGCAGTTGCAGAGTTTCCTGGGGTTCTGCAACTTCTACCGCCGGTTTATCCGCAACTTCAGCGCCCTGGCGTCACCATTAACTTCCCTGACGAAAACAACCAATCAGCCTCGCCCTTTCCGCCTCTCCCCGGAGGCCGTTGCTGCCTTCCATGAGCTGGTCCGCCGCTTTGTAAGCGAGCCCATCCTCCTCCACCCGGACCTAACACGGCCTTTCGTTGTGGAGGTGGACGCCTCTGAGACGGGCGCGGGAGCCGTACTGTCACAACGTGGCCAGGACTCCAAACTCCATCCCTGCGCATTCTTTTCCCGGAAGTTCTCTCCTACCCAGCAGAACTATGGGGTCGGGGACCGGGAATTGTTGGCGATAAAGTGGGCCCTGGAGGAGTGGCGACAGTGGCTCCTGGGTACCCCCACTCCTTTTCTAATCTGGACTGATCATCAGAACCTCATCCATATTCAGACCGCTCGCCAACTCAACCCTCGTCAGGCCCGGTGGGCCCTCTTTTTCGAACCTTATAACTTTCACATCGCCTACCGCCCCGGCTCAAAGAACCTCAAGGCGGACGCCCTGTCCCGTCAACACACCCAGGATCCAAGGCCTCCTGAACCGAGGTCCATCCTCCCGACCGAACGGTTCTTGGCCGCCCTGCAATGGCCCCTGGAAGCCTCCATCCGGGCGGCTCTCCCGGCGGACCCGGCGCCCCCAGAGACGCCTCCTAACCGCCTTTACGTTCCGGCCGTGTGTCGACAGGAGGCCTTGAGGTGGGGGCATAGTTCACGGCTCGCGGGACACCAAGGCCAGGCTCGTACCTTCCAGTTCCTCCGCCGGGCCCTGTGGTGGCCCTTTATGAGAAAGGACGTGCGTGAATACACCGCTGCATGTGACACTTGCGCCCGGTCTAAGTCCACCATCCAACCTGGAGCCGGGGAATTGCAACCGCTCCCTGTGCCTAAAAGGCCGTGGTCGCACATAGGTGTAGACTTTGTCACGGGGCTTCCCGCTGCCGACCACCTGGACACCATCCTCACCATCACCGACCGCTTTTCGAAGGCTGTGCACTTAGTGGCTATGGCAGGGCTCCCCACGGCTAAGAAAACGGCGGAGCTCCTCCTCGATCATGTGGTGAGGCTCCACGGATTCCCCCAGGACGTGGTGTCTGACAGAGGGCCTCAGTTCATCTCACGTTTCTGGAAGGCTTTCTGTCGGTTGGTGGGCGCTTCCGCCAGTCTGTCGTCAGGCTATCATCCCCAGACTAATGGTCAGACGGAGAGAGCAAACCAGCAATTTGGGCGTTACTTACGCTGCTTCGCCTCGTCTCAACCGTCCACCTGGCCTCGTTACCTCCTATGGGCGGAGCTCTCTCACAACCTCCAGACGTCCTCCGCCACGGGTCTATCGCCCTTCGAGACCTGCTACGGATACCAGCCCCCTCTTTTCGACCATCAGGTGCCGGAGGTGGAGGTTCCGGCGGCTCAGGATATGGTCCGCCGCTGCCGTCTCGCTTGGATCAGGGCTCGCGCCGCCATCACCCGGGCTAATACGGAGTACTCCAGACAACACCGCCGCCGCCACCGGCCCGGCCCTGTGTTCCAGCCTGGTGACCAGGTTTGGCTCTCTACCGCAAACCTCCGGTTTCCGGCTGGTTCCAGGAAGCTGTCGCCTCGCTTTTTGGGGCCCTTCCCAGTCCGAGATGTCCTCGGTCCGGTCGCTTACCGGCTGCGCCTCCCTTCCACTCTTAAGGTGCACCCGGTATTCCACGTCTCACAGCTCAAGCCGGTGGTGTCTTCTCCTCTCCATCCGCCTCCGGCCCGGGTGCCGACGCCCCGAGATGTCGATGGGGACCCCGTCTACACCGTCCGCAAGATTCTGGACACCCGCCGCCGGGGCCGTGGATGGCAGTATTTGGTGGACTGGCAGGGTTACGGTCCGGAGGAGCGTAGCTGGGAGCCTGCCCGCTCGTTTCTGGATCCTTCCCTGTTGGCTGATTTCTGGTCTCGTCGCCCTGGGCCTTCTGGAGCCGTCCCTCGCGGGGGGGGGGGGGGGGGGGGGGGGGTCCTGTCATGAACTCCTCCTCTTAACCTCCTCTGCGGGCCGGGCTGGTGCTGCACTCCAGTTCCCAGCATGCCTGTCACCGACGCTTCCCGGTGACGTCATCCCGCTGAGCCTATTTAAGGACCTGTCACAGCGGAGCCGGCACTCAGTCATCATCTAACGATAGACGCCAAGCCATTCTAAGACCTAAGACACTAACTCTACGAACCATACGGGAAGAGAACTTCCCACGCTGCCACATATCAGTCTCCATCCACCATTCTCTCCGCGCCTGGGTCTCATAACCACTCCAGCTCAGCCCATCGAACCTGACACTGTGCATAGCTAGGACCTGGCCTGAAGTATTGCCACAAGCAGATGATGGCCTTTTACTCCATGAAGTATCACTGTCATTTCATTCTTCCATTTATGTTTTGATTCATACACAACTATTTTCTTCTGTTAAGGGTTGTTGGAGAGCGTGATAGGGAGATTGGTTGGGTTCTGAGGTAGCCTGTCATTGCTGTCATTGAGTGAGAGGTGGAGTGCACCATTAATGGATTGTTGGTCCAACAGAAAGCCAATACTGATAAACATGAGAATAATAATAATGCTCACTGAGGTCATTCACCCTGTCATCTCAAGAAAGTGCACAGTTCAGATCCTGTCAGGGCTCTTTCATGTGGAGTTTGAATGCTCAAATAGTAAAATCCAGTATTTTTGTGTTTGAGTAAGACCTTACCAGCAAATGGCCATTAGGTTAAAAAATCCCTGGGAGTGCAATTTTCAAATGAGTAATTTGTCAGATAGTTCAACCTCCAGCAAAATGACAAGCACATCAGACTTTTCATCGCTGGCAAATAGTGAAGAGGTAAATGTGTAAAACGACAATGTTTATGAATGGAGTAAGTTTTGTAACCGCTTGGTACAAATCAGCAAACGTGTTTTGTTCTCATGGGCTCCCATAGAAAGAAACATTACATCTAATATGGCGTCTCCCAGAGGCTTAGACCCGCTCCTATGTATTTTAGACCCAATGTTTATGGTTATATGTTAAGAAGCCGATATTTTTCAACAATGGCCATCATTTCATTCAGTTTCAACAACTAAGATCGGCTCCTGAAAATCCTTCGTGTTACTTCTTACTTTTCATTTGCAGTCATTTGTTGTTGTGTGAGTCTTTCGCTCTCCTGCACAGCACTTTGGTTAGCTGCCATGCTATTTTCAAATGTGCTCTATAAATAAACTGGTATGGTATGGTGTGCAGTCGACATGAATATTGAGCTCACCAGTAATAACTTGTATAATTATTGAGTAATTTTAATCACTTTTGCACACAAAATGCTAATTCTTGCTATTCACTTCCATTTTTTATCCTAAGCTAAAGTAGACGGACTGCTGCCAGACCAGGAGAGTTACTGCAGTGTCACGATGAGAGCAGGAGGTTAGGACCCAAGATGCAGAATCCCCAGACCAACCCAAGGCAGGAGAGGTTTGAGAGAATACTTCCTTTATTTTAAAGGCGGATGTGCCAAAGTCCAGAGGCACAAAACAAACCTGACTTAATGTCAAACTCGCAGAACAAACAAACAAACAAACAGAAGCTCACTCATGAGCATGAACTAGGGTTACTAGAGGAGGACAGAACACGCTGACAATTACAATGAACCAACACAACACTGAGACACAAACATGGTTATATACACAGAAGGGAGCAATCAGGGAAAAAGGCAGCAGGTGCGTGGGGAGTGAGAGGTGAAGGGATCAGGTGAGACTAATTAGCTGAGTGGGGAAAACGGACTAGGTAAAACAAATCTACAGAGAAACTACAGATAAGTGAACTCCTAAAACCTGAAAACAAGACAACCATAAGAAAAACAGGGATGGGATTTCTAAATCTGAAAACACTATGGGGAAACCTGGAGTGGGCTGGGGAACACAATGGGACACAAGAGGAGAACCTGGAGTGAGAAAAGGAGGAGGCTGGGGACAGAGGGACACAGAACATGACATGCGCTGGTTACAAAATGCTTTTTTTCTCACTTATCTAACTCTGGGGAATACAGCAATAGATAAAATCTCCCTTTAATGGTAAAAACTACACATTGTCCCTTTAAAATTGTGTTAGGACTGTGAAAAATATTTGGTTCTCAACCATGTTCTGACTCTGAGCAGTTTTTTTTCTTTTAATTAACAGCTGCTGAAAACTTGTACATGACATTTTTAGTCACACCGTTGCCCATAGCATGAATGCAAATCAAACAGGAATGATCTGGTTCAGTAAACTTTCACTTATGAACAGTTTGGGGTTTTAAAGGAATTATAGGTTATGCCAAATGTTGTGCAGTACAAAGAAGGCCAGGGTTTTTTTTTTTTCATCTCATGACTGGTTAAGATACACACCAGCTTCCTGTAACCCTGAACAAACACAAAAGGACAAAGTGGACAGATTTACATAATAACTGCTAATCCCATTTAGCTGACTTCCCAGTTTGTCCACCAACCCTGTTCGATCTGTGTTTCATATAAAGGTGAATTAGGACAAAGTATTGTTGTTATTAATTACAGTGAATGAGTTTGTGTGTATCGGTGCCTTCATTGTGTGTGTGTACTTTTAAATCTCCTCTTCTGTCAGTGAGGACATCCTCCCACCCCTCATTAGTTGTTAAACACCGTTCATTAACATCTTTAATTAGACCACATTTTAAACCATCTGTCTGTCGGCTTTGTGGTCTGCTTCCTCCTCTCCTCATCTGCACTATTTTTCTACCTTCAATATTTCACTGTCTGCTCTCCATTGCTGCACTGCTCTTTCTTACCCTTCACCTTTTCTCTTGGTTCCCAACCTTCCTCGGCCTCCCTCTGCCTGCACACTGCACTTCCTACACTCTCTCATGAAAGGAGTGGGTGAGTACAATGGAGTTAATCACAGCAATTCACGAGCTGTATCTGTGTCTATTCAGGGAGCAGCAGAGGGCTGGAAAACACTCTCCTCATCTACATGCAGCCACAAAACTCACACAAAACACCTGCACAATCACACACCAGCCTTTCTGTGTCAAACTCATCTTTCGCCATTTTATCGGCAGGAATAGTGGAAATTAACATGACATATTAGAATTTTAAGCTCTCACTTTTAAGGATTCACAAAGATAATAAGGTTCACTTTTGGCTCTGCACCTCAATGGCGTTGGAGGTACTCACAAGTGGCCGTAAATCTGGGTGGGTGAGGATGTAGCCATTGTTGGTGATTGCAAAAGCGTAGCCATGAATGCCAAGCTAGGGTAATGAGCAGAAACACACAAAAAATGATTCACAACAAATCTGTTCCTAATTGTTGCTCTGGGCTAATCAAGCCCTTTGTCATGTTTCACATTTGGAATCATTCCTTGATGAAACTCAACCCAGGAGCATTTGTTAATTTATATCTGGACAAATAAGATGCTCTTAAATGTCAAAACTTGAAATCCAATCATGTTTCGCATCTACAAATCAGTCCAAGGAACCTGAAAAGCACTTTTAACGTGGAATTGTCTGGTCATACTTGGACTGTGATGAAAAGACTTTAAAAAGTCTGAAAACATCCAGAAAGACTGTGATTTATTTGTTTATGGCTTTAACATCAATAATGCACTGAAAGTTTGGAACTGGTGGCATTTTTCAGGAAGAAAAATCAAATGGTAAATTATTCTACGATGTCACGTGGTTAAAAGTACCCAGATTAAGTTATGATTCTACAAAGTGTTTGTGAGTGGAGGGATTTGTACGTAGTATGCTTCCAAGAATGTGATTTTGCTAATTTTACCTTATATTTGGGAATAGTTTTAAGCAGCTCTGAGACAGGCACATCTGTTCCCACCACACCCAGAAGGATCCCATGATTTCTCTAGAAACATATTTTACAAAGTTTGAAAAGTTGTTTTACAGTTTCTCAGTGTCATCAATAACCATTGCAAACTAATTTCTATAAATTACACTTGTTTAAAGATGTGGTTCACTGACAAACATTTTTATGCAGGATGAACATGAAAATAGTCTCCTACACCTATCTCCTGCATTAGCTTCTGAGAGAAAATAGATGGTGAAACTCTAGGATTCGAAAAGCCTGACAGATCTACGTCACACTGTCACTTAACATTCATGGACTCACTCATCATGACTCATGATGGGGAAGGCTGTTCTTGGTTTCGACTAGTAAAAGCTAACCATTAGCATTAGCAACTCTACCACACAGCAGAACTTCTCCAGGCTTGTGCTATTTGTGGAGACAAAACATCAATGTTGCAAAGCTAACCAAGTCAGTGGTAGAGTTGTGTTGTTTTTAGCCAATCAGAGGTGAGATTTCCAGTTAAGGAAGTAAAGCCTTCTTTCCACTAAATGTGAAAGCGGTGTGTAACGTAATAGCGGCATTTTACCTGTGAGATCATTCCCAACCCGGAGCATTTCAGACATAAAACGGGAGCAAGAGCATTCCGATTAGCTGATCTCATAAGGTCACAAAATCACAAGAGAATTGCAACACCGCGCGTGATTTCAAAAGTCCACACTGCTTGTTAAAAAGCAAGGAGAAAAACAACTGCATGTCACAGGGGGTTTAACATGAAATGATGCAAGTTTACCTGCATATGACTTATTTTTAAAGTTTCCGAATGTTTTACACTGCTTTTGTGTTTGACTTCCTGTCTTGCCTGATCTAAACTGTTTGACGAAACACAATGATGGCATCCCTTTGCTTATGGGACGTGTCTAAAATGTTAACACTTTTGTGCCAGTGGAAAGGAACTCATTCACTATAATGGTGGCTAAGTGTCGCATGATACATTTTGCGGCCATTTTGCGATGCTTTCACATCCAGTGGTAAGAAAGTGTAAGACACCAAATCCTGCAGTCGGAAGCTCTCCTCTGATCTGGCAATCTTCTAGATCCTGAAAAAGACGCACCAGGACATTTTGTACCCAGAGTATAACTTACAAGGCATTCATTCCTACTAGAGATCACAGTAAATGTATTGATTAAACAAGTGAACCAGATCTTTGAGGGTCAGCAAAAACTCGTATTTCTTAAAAACTGAGTATTTTAAGGGTAAATCAGATCTGGAGAACTGGGTATGAACTCTGTATGAACTTACCGTCTCATTCTTGGTACTGAACACTGGCATCGCAACTGTGGTCATCAGAACTGGCCCTTGACCGTCCTCCAACTGGAACGTGTCGTTGGAAATAATCAATGATGTGTGGCAAGTGAGACGGTGTGAGAAAGAGGAAGACAGGGTGGGAAAAAGAGAACAGTTGAAGATTATAACAACAAAGAAAAGTCTAGTTCATACATTCAGTGATGCCTTGTATATTGTTAGAAACGTCTTGCTTTGTCAAACACTAAGAAACTTTCTTTTTTGATCAACCTGCCTAGTTACGAAGTGGATGGGGTCTCTACAGCAAACTCCAGTCATATTATCTTCTTCAGGGACCTTAAAAACTTCCATGACATGTTTTATTCATGTTTTTATTTGCCTTACGTATTCCATCCAAGCATGCCTTTGATCTCTTGCAGAATAAGCTTATCCAAAGGCAGTGCTTCTAGTTTGGATCTGGATATCTTCTCTCTCCAAAGACCGCTGGAATAATTATGATATTTATCTTTCCAGCAGCTGTCTGTATCCGCACACAGTATCCGTTAGAGATGAAAGCTTGGCGCTGCAGTGAACAGAGGAGTGCTTGACAAGCAGTAGTCTGATCCTGTCCAGTTAGAAATGTTCAATTCTCAATATAACAGTGACTTGTTCAGTTTTTGCTCAAGTAACCGTAAATTAATGAAGCATTAAGTAAAAGCTAGAAGATTTTAAAGAAACCTTAGGAGTAGCAATGCTGTCTGCTTTCTTCTAAAATGCCAAGTAATATTTTGGGATTTTAATTTTCAATAATCGCCTAAGATCAAAAGAAATGTTTAAGCTGCTGCCATTGGTTCATTAGGGGTTAGGCGTGGGCAGCATTACAGTAATACCAAATAAAGCCTGTGTTAAAACGTAGCAGTGGTATCAGTTCCAATACGTCATGAAAAAAAGTAAAATTAATGGCAAATGGCCTATATTTGATATAGCACCTTCCAGAGTCCGGGAAGCCCCCAAAGCACCTTTACAACACAATCAGTGATTCACCTATTCAGACACACATTCACACCTTCATGGTGATGAGCTACGATGTAGCCACAGCTGCCCTGGTTGCCGTACACAGGCGCCGCCGGTCCCTCCGACGCCACCAGCAGGCAAGGGGGTTAAGTGTCTTGCCCAAGGACACAACGACAGCGACAAACTGAGTGGGGCTCGAACCTGCAACCTTCTGATTATGGGGCGACCACTTAACTCATGTGCCACCATCGCCTTAAGTGTGTCTGAACCATAAGCTAATTGAAGCGAGTTTTCACCACTGAGGAAAAGAAGTCGGTCCACAACGTCCTATGTTGAAGCCAGAAAAGATAAAAATGCTGGTTTTTCACATGATAAATAGTTTTATAAGCTGCATATTTTAAACGTTGTTAATATCATGTGTGTTATGTTGTTATTGTTTCAGAAATATTTTTTGTTATTAAGTTTCTTAACTGTGAAAGACCAAGCCAACATCTTGCTAATTCCACTTTAGCCTTACGTCATCATCTTTTAATTGGTCCCTGTTATACCGTACACCTTGGTAAGATGTGGAGGAAGTTGGACGGTAACCCCCAAATTCCACTACCTCCGCTCCGACACGAACGCCGGAGCAAAATCGGTCCCGTTGTAGTCAATCAGAGCAATTCCACTACTGCGGCCATGCTCCGGCAGTGCGGCGCCGTGCGCTGCCCTCTGTTCCGGCGTCCGGCAAAAATAGAATCGATCCTATTTTCGCCGGACGCCGGAGCACCTCCGCAGTAAATGGACAGAAATCACAACGGCCCAACAGGAAAAGGAGCAAGCACAATTTCCGTTTTTCACAATAAATCGATAAACAAAAGGCGTTTTTTGTTTCATATGCACAGGTTTAACAACTTTTAACAACTATCAATGGCGGCTGAAGTTTAAATGCACAAAAGTAAACCATAAATACAGTTTCTACTATCAAAGTAGTCGCCCTTTGTTGATCCAAACACTGCTGATCTCTCAACACAAATTATAGGGAGATTAAACAGCTCATGCCGATGCTTCTCCCACACAACGGGTGTTTGGATCTAACTTCCGCGTTTATTGCTCAGACTGTATCGCAAGATCTCGAAAGTCCCGCGCATGCTTGTTTGCCCCCCTCAGGTCTCCGCACCGGAGCGGAGCCGTTGTAGATCGGGTACCAGTAAAAATTGAGTTCGGAAGCGAGCGGCTGCGGAAGGCGGGGGCGGACCGGAGCGGAGGTAGTGGAATTTGGGGGTAATAACATTTGGAAACTGTCCAAGCCTATTAGGGATCAGGCGTGTCTCTAGTCCCAAACAGGACATTTCATCAGACAAGTGTGGAAATAAGCCTTGGCCATTGCAAAATCTACACTTCTTCTAAAAATAATTTCGGATATGAAAGTAGGTGTGTTTGGTTGCTGGATTTAAAGAGAACATTTGGACTTCAGAAAGAATAAGTCAGTGACATTATAACTGCAGCACTTTGCCATGTGAAGGAATTTGAAAGAAAACCAAAAGTAAAATGCTAAGACTTTGATGAACAATTCATATCAAAATGATGTTTGCAGGAATAGGAATTGTCAGTTTGAAAAGTTAGAATGCATAACATGATCACACTAAGATGAGAATACTGTAGGGAAATCTCCATAACACCTGAAATCTAAACTACAATTGTGGACAATTTAATTTTAAAATGTCCATCCCACTTTTAGTAACCTTCGTTTTTTGCATTGGCTTGCATAATTGTACCTCGGAACTAAATACACAGTATGGTTCATTAAGAAACAATTTTAAATCAATTTGTAAAATTTTCTTGGACTTACCTCAAGAGTCCCTACATGGTACTTTTTCAACAGAACCAACCAATGTAACCACTTGTAGTTGGACTTTACATTCTTCCAGTCCACACCCTTCTTTACAACCAATAATAACAGTCTATGACAGGATATTGTAACAATCTGTTCTGTCTTCGTAATCTATTAAGGAAAAGGGGAATTGGTGGTAAGACAGCTGGTAATTGAAATCCAGGGACTGGTATTGAACACCAAAGGGAGAACAAAGCACACTTAAGTGCAGCTGTTGTAACAATGGATGGCCTTGCTGCTGTAGAATGTGATCGATCAAAAGGACAGAAGAAATGAGTAACGCATCATCTAACAATACCAAATCTATTTCCAAGCTGGGGTCTATTATATCATATATCACTGGACTGGCAAGCATTCTTTTCTCTGAATACGCTCTGCACGGAGACATTCATCTTAGAAGGAATGCATTTTGGTTAAGTTGTATTTGGTGAGAATCAGGCTTCCTTTCAATGCTTCAGGAAATGGGTTTTGTGAGTAATGTCAGTTTCACTGTAAGAGATGCATGAAGTAAACCATAAACAAGCACCTACTGAAATACAAAGATTTCTCATTAGACTGAACTTTAAACCAACATCTGTACTGTTACTGTTACCAACAAACTGCAACAGGATGTTTTCCTTTAAAATTGCTGCTAAAATTGTCACAGGAGTTGCAGGGCCTTGACATCATGCCCTGAACTTATGAACATGTCCAAAAACTGTGCATAGTTAATTCCTATAAAAAATAGTCTCACTTTCATTTCTGAGTCAAGAAGTACAGGAAACGTGAAATAACTTTGAAAAGAGCTTACAGCCAAATTGTGAAAAAGGGAAGAAAAAACAAAATGTAGTTGAAGCATTTTGTGTCTAAATTGTGACAAGAAAAAAATACTTTGTGCAACAGTTGCACAACTGCTGCAATTTTGTTGAAACTGCATCCAAGTGACCCAACCAAACATAAATATTGTAGATGAAATGTTGTAATAAACCTATTCAGTGTGACTTTGTCCCTGATAAATCTAGCCCAGTGGCCAAAACCTCTAACATGAAATCAGAAATAAACACACCGTTATTTGCATTATCATCCTTGATTTACTAATAGTTAGTCAGGCCAGAAAAACATGAAAAAGTTGTACAAATCAATTCCATCACAGTACGTTGGAAATGGCAACAAGAATATCAGTACAGTTGTCCCCGCTGTAACGTGGTTCACTTTTTGCGGCCTGACAGTTTCAGTTTTTTTGTGTGCAACTTTTCATGCCTTTTTTATTACAGCACATGTTATGTTCTGCTTCCAAATGGAAAAAGATTTGAACTCTGAGTGTTTAAACAAGAGAGAAAAGTGTGAAAATGTTAATGCATGCCTGAAAAAAGTGTAAAATGAGTGTGTGCAAATAAAACTGTTCACACATGCTTGAAATAAAACTGTTGAGACATTCTGCTGTGTTTCTGTGTGTGTGCCCCCAACAATAGTAGATGCATACCCAACAAACATCCATAATAATTGTAAAAAATTAAGCTGACTACTTCCTGGATTTCACTTATTGTGGAATATTTTTAGAACGTAACTCCTGCGATAAATGAGGAACCACTGTACACATGTTTAAATACAACTAGCACCTCTCTGGCATTCCCACCAACACAAACCCCTAATGAGGCACAATTACATACCCGGGTCTGTTTGATGTTTCAGGGAAACCTTAGAATATGGGTTGCAGTGACAAATGGTGTGGTTGGATGAGGTGATCTATGTTGCCTTGGAGACAAAGTTTAATGATGATAGTTTGTATAATAAGTGGAGTCAAACCCCCACCCTGCAGTCTCCTGTGGAAGAACTAAAGAAAACCCACAAGGGAAAAGAGCCTGCATCTGACAGGTGTTTGGGAAAATGTTGTGAAAGTTATCAGCTATGAAACTCTAGCTTGCAATCATCCGCTATGATATTTTGGACAGATCCACACGTGACTTTGTCATTTAACGCTGGGCGTACACTGTGCGACTTTTTCACTCGCAGCGTTCAGCTTCAGCTCAAACTGTACGACTTCCTCGCAGAGCAGATCTCACGAGTCGTGTGCTCACACTGTACGACCCAGTTCTCGCATGCGACCTGACTGCTCACACTGTACATCTGGTAGCAACACGTCGGCCCTAAAAATGTGCTAAAAATAGCAGTTTTTACTCAACACGTCAGACTTTTTTTTCTTGTTTTGCCTGTTGTCCTTCGAGAGTGCTGCAGGAGGACACACAGGGATTTATGGGGGTTGGATGAGGAAAACGAAATAAAGAGAGTAAATCTGTGTTTTGTGATCAGTTTAATTTGACATGAACACGACAAACACGCTTTCTTGACAATCTTTGTGAGTAAAAAAAACGTGTAGAAACAAAAACGAACAGCGTGTGTTATTAGGGAAATAGCGAGCGACCGGCGTTGATGCAGGATTGCGCGCGCATGCGCCGTGAGCGGTTCTGATACTTTTTGGATCGTAGCTGCTCGCAGCGCTGCTTCAACAGTGTGATACCCTCATGAGGGACGAGCGAAATATTAAACACACCAGAAGTCCGTGCGACCTCACGACTGCTGATCGGCAGCTGGTCACGTAGTGTTAATCGCCTCTCGTAACCCCCTGTACACTACACGACTGCTCGGCGCAAAACTCGCCCCGATGTCGTGGATTCTCGCACGACTGAAAAATCGGCTCAAAAAAGTGAAAAAGTCGCACAGTGTACGCCCGGCTTAAAGGTCATACAATCATGTTTCAGTTATGTCCTCTCACCCTCTTTACAACAGCTATCTACCCAACACCAAAGTTTTCCTTCCATTTATCCCTGTTATCTGTTTTTATTCCAGTTCTTTACACTCTTTCCACGTAACATGACCTGCACTTGTCCTAAAATAACCCCTCAGAGCTAAACCTCTCACCTAAACCTTGCTGAACATCATCTCTGATCTCTGCTGTCAGAACATTCGACAGAGTATAGGAAACAAAGCCAAATGAGCCGGGGAATGATGGATGAAGCTGGAGAGACGAAGGGCAGGAGGGTGCGGGCGGGGAACACGAGAGGACGAGAGAGAATCTCAGTAAGGGGAAGCTGTGGAGAGAGAGAGGTAAATGTGAAAAAAGAGCGGGGAGATGACGTTGGAGAGAAAAATGACTGGGTTGCACCGAGAAGGATGAGGAGAGCAAAGGAAAAGATAGGCTGACCCTATGTCTAGAAAGACGATACACACCAGCCCTGGAACCCAAATCCCAAATGCTCATCACCTTTCTGGCAAAGAGCGATCCCAGAAGTGCCTAACATCTAATCTGACACAAGCTGGTGTGAGCATTTCTCTATTAATTTGGCTGCTTTTCCTTTCAGGGTTACTTTTAGCCAGGTGTGTTCACCATACACAGACTAGTGTGTCTAAAGTGATTAAGCACAAAGAAGTGATGCTGATTTTGATTATCGCATCTATGAATGAAATTATATCCACTATTTGATTACTACCGAGCCAGTTGGATGTCAATCAGCTGAGATCTATCACACAAACAGTGCTTTGTCAGACAAACGCCTGCTAGCTCTCTAATGAGACTGCAGTACACTGAGCTCCTGCTGGTGGAGAAGCTCAGCGCTCTTTTTGTTCATCATCATCGTCATTGTTATGATTATAGAGCCGCTTATCTGGAGCCACATATGATTCACTAAAACCCAATAGAAACGATCAGAACAGATCATCCTAACATAGTCATTAGGGACTATTGGATTTTCACCCTGAAGATGACGAAACAGCTCATTTTGGAGAATTTGATCAAAACAAACAACACAAGCAATCTCGGTTCCACAGTAAAAACACAGATCGAAGAGAAAACTTAAACTTACACATGACCACACACTGCCAGCCTGGACACACTTGCGAAGCACAGCTAACAACATCACAACTAATGAATGACAATGCTCTTAAAAAAGATCAGACATGCACAAAAAAATACATGGAAAAACTGTGACTTGTGTCAGGACATCAACAAACTACACATGTGCCCACAATAAATACTTAGTCATCTGAAAAGTTTGGCTTTCTTTTAAAGAGATAAAAAAATCATGCATGCACATGAATGAACATAAATGTACAGCAGCCTCAACGACATGATGGCCTCAAACTGGAACTTTTACCTTTTGTGCTTGGGGGAGCTAAAAGGGCATTTTAAAGAGGAGGAGAAAGAGGAGCAGGGAGAGGAGGGGGGAGTGCAGAGAAAATGTCAATACATCTGCGAATAAGGGTGAGGAAGCTTTTCAGTGCCCACTTTGCTAAATGGAGTGGCCGAAGGATGCATAACACCTATTGTCATCAAACAATTACTGTGTCAGGAAAATAAATCGTCCTCTAACCACAGGAAATAATTGGTTAAACGGTCATAAAAGTGACCAATTTTTATGAATACATTAAGATCAAAAAGGCAAAACAAAGTAATTACAGATGGAAAAGGATAAAACATGAGAGGCATATGGAACTAGAATTGGGACAATATCTCATGTAACATGTACCAAGTTTTATAACTTGTAGCATGTTTTTGTAACTGTAATTTAACGTTTTGTTGTATTTAATTGACATTTTGTAACTGTAACACGTAACTTTTATTTTGTAACAAAGACGAACGAAAGTTACATGTTACAAAATGTGACTTACATGCTACAAAACGTAAGTTATGATGACAAAACTTGGTACAAGGTACTTGCAATATTGTTCCAATCCTAGCTCCATAGAGGAAAAGGTATCATTTCATGCAGGGTTGGTTATAAATCAGTATAGAAATAGCTGAGAATGATCACTCTGAAGATAATTACCTGAAAAAAGCATGAAGAGGTCAGTATGCTAGAATGTTTGTTTCTACTTGCAATAAATGAGAAATTATCTTTTCAGGTCTTGTGGGTAAAAAAAAAAACTTTCTTAATTAAAAAAAATTATATATATATATATATATATATATATATATATATATATATATATATATATATATATATGTTTTCTAATATTACAGTATCACAAAACAATAAAGGACAATAAGCTCATTGCATTTCAACAAAAAGCTAATTGTCTGCCAGATGCATTCTGGGATGTGGTAAATGATCTGCTCACTCTACAAGACATCCCAACACACAGGAGGAACATTTACTTAATGACTCCATCTGGTGCATGTGCCAGAATGCACTTTCACACTTCAGCAGCCGAAGATACAAACTCCAAACATTGTAAATCCTCTGCTTGCCATGTATACAAAAATACACAAGCTTCATAAAAGAAAAACATGGGTTACATTTTCATTTTGCCTCAGTCCATCACGCAAATTGTCAGAGATGTCAATTTGCCTGCAGTAAACTTACAGTGCTATCAATGTAAGCCTCTGTCCACACTGTGTCGTGCTCTCGATCAATGACTTTGGGACGACTCAGCACATGAAGGTATTCCATTACATTCTCTTGAACATCCGCCAACGTTGAAATTTGAGTAAAGTACCCTGATAGGGACAGAGAGAGAAAAAAAGAGAAAATATATATATTGTTATTCAAATTCTGAAGTGAGAAGTTGCTGTGAAACATTTAATTCAATATTTAAAGGCACAGTGTGTAAAACTTTTATTTGTTTACTATTGAATTCTGCATGTCCCATTCACAAACATTTGCTTTCTCATTAATATATCTTACCAAGGTCTGTTCTAAGTATTCTTATTAGCTTCAAAATTTACATTTTTATAAACTGTGGTCAGGCATGAGGTCCTGCCCCAAGTGGAGGAGTTGAAGTATCTCGGGGTCTTGTTCACGAGTGAGAGAAAACTGGAGCATGTGATCGATAGGCGGATTGGTGCTGCATCTGCAGTGATGTAGGTATTGTACCGGTCTGTCGGGGTGAAGAGGGAGCTGAGTCAGAAGGCGAATCTCTTGGTTTACCGGTCGATCTACATTCCTACCCTCACCTATGGTCATGAGCTTTGGGTAGTGACCGAACAAACAAAATCGCTGATACAAGCGGCCAAAATGAGCTTTCTCCAAAGAGTGGCTGGGCTCTCCCCTAGAGATAGAGTGAGAACCTCAGTCATCCGGGAGGGGCTCGGAGTAGATTCGCTGCTCCTCCACATCGAAAGGAGCCAGTTGAGGTGGCTCAGGCATCTAGTTAGAATGCCACCTAGACGCCTCCCTGGTGAGGTTTTCTGGGCACGTCCAACCGGGACGAGGCCTAAAGGGAGACCCAGGACGCATTGGAGGGACTATCTCTCACCTGGCCAGGGAACGCCTTGGGATTTGCCCAGAGGAGCTGGCCAAAGTGGCTGGGGAGAGGGAAGCCTGGGCCTCTCGAATTAGGCTATTGCCCTCACGACCCGACTCCGGATAAGCGGATGAAAATGGATGGATGGATAAACTGTGGTTGATCTGCCAAACACTGCCGAACACTAGCACCACCAGTCTTTCCGACCACCACCGGCAGGCAAATACAGTAGCTGTTTAGGGACAAACAAGATATAATGCTCCATATTTGCGCTTTGACATAAATGTACTCCTCCCTCTAAACACCGTGTGGGGGTGGCGCCGGTTATCTCCGTGGCACCCTTGCTGGTTTGGGGGAAATTCTGCTCCTTCCACTTGGGTTGCTTGTCCTGCTCCAACCACATGTGATCGCTGGATTGAAAGCTGGGAGTTGTTGATGACTATAGCAATGCGCGCACGGCTGCTGGTGAGACGGGTGAGACGGCAGCAGTGGTATGTGGTTTTTTCTGTGTGTGACCCCCAAAATAGCTGTTAGTGCTTCAGTGTCTCCCACTCCCCTGCAACTGTCTACGCACTGCCACAACCACATAATGCCTTTTTGATGCGTGGGGGCTACATGCAATACCCACTCTGAGCTACGTGGCACTAAAGCAGGTGTCAATAACTCCAGTTCTTGAGGACTACCAACCTGCTAGTTTTCTGTTTCCTGGAGTATTTTAATCCTCCCCTTACCACTTTTAACTCGGCACATGCCTGTTACAGTTTTTGTCGATTGCTAAAACTCAAAAAGCAAAAATGAGGCACAATTTTCACAACCTCTACTTCTGTTCCCAATCGCTTGACTCAATTTATCACTACTTAAGATTTCCTTATCATATTAGAACTCTGATTTTCCTCCTTTACACTCTGATATCAATTTCACATTACCTTGCTGTCAAAACACAGCACACAATTCTCAGGTTTACACACAACTTCTCACATAAATTGTCAAAGCTTCAATCAACAACACACAAATATTCAAATCTCTAAACTTTCGGGTCTGGCGAGCAATTTGCAATCAGGGACTGCAGCATAAACGTAAGTTTCCACAAGGCTACCCAGGTGTATGAGTGGTTTCAGGACCACCCACGGTTTTCCATTTGATACCTTCCACCTTATTCCCCCTTTCTCAATCCCACTGAGGAGTTTTTCTCAGCCTGGAGGTGGAAGGTGTATGAAAGGAATCCACTGCTTCAAGCCATGGAGGAGGCTTGTAGAGATGTGGCCTTTGAGGCCTGTCAGGGCTTCATGAGGCACTCGAGGCAGTATTTCCAGTGCTGTTTGGACCAGGAGGACATCGTCTGTCATGTTGATGAGGCCCTCTGGCCAGACAGAGACTGGAGGCATGATGCCCCATGGTATCAATAGATAGTGGTGGTCAATGGAGGAAGTGGGAAGTGGGGGGCTGTGTTATCGGTGCATGTGTGAGTTCAGGGTGGTTATTGCTTTGGGGAAGAAACTGTTTTTGAGTCTGTGGGTTTTTGCATTAATGCACCTGTAGTGCTTTTGATAGGTATTTTTGAATTGTTCATCTTTGTTGTGAAATCTTTTCCTTTGTCTATGTGAAGAGTTACCTCACCCTTAAACAGGGATTTGTTAGGAAAAACCCTGACCTACTTATCAAGCAGAGTTCACTCACCCTTGCTGCTTAAATGTGTTAGGAAAAACCCTGACCTAGTTACTTGTTTTTACGTTTGGGTGTTTTCAGAAAACTCCTTTCGACTCGAGGTGTTTTTCCATTAGTTGAAGCAAACTGGTCAGACAGGGGTTTCACACTATTTGTGGGTGTGTATGTTCAAATAAAAGCTCTTCACAAGCTTCGGCTCTTTGTGAGAGGAAAAATGGCTTCTGACTCCAGTGTGTCTCTGTGCCTTTCCCTCACCCGTTGCAAAGGAAGCTTTGTAACATATTTTAAGGTTTGTTACAATTTACCAAATTATCTATATGTGCTTTGACTTTCTTTAAGGTAATAGAGGAGGTAATATGGGAGAGAGACGATGGAAAGCTCCGGAGTGGGTTTGGGCCTTCTCCCTCTCCTCTGTTTCTCTTTGTGTAAGGTGTGTTATTTCAGGTAAAGGACCATGGCGCATATAAAATACCTAACAGTTAATTGGTGCCGAAAGCCAGGATAGCAGATGCCTTCCGGTGGGGGATCGCCTTCGGGGAGCCGCATGGCCACTTCCTCATTAAAGTCCGGCCAGCTGAATTGCCCTCCGGCCGGCTGCTCCGCGGGCGAGCTTCCACCTACGGCTCTCGCTCTACCGGGACGAAGAATGCCAAGTGAGTATCTAAATTAAATTGCACCCTTTTACTAAATAACTGGTTGGCAGTGTGTTTTTAAGCTGATTGTGGTGACTAGGCATTCACGCACGAAAAGACGTTTTCATGTCCAGCTAGGGGGTTGCACATGTGAACCGTAGAGGTAGCACTGAAACGTGAACCGTGGCTGTAGACCTGGCCTTGAAAGAAGGAGGTTGTAATTCGTCTGTGTCTGCGCGCACAGGCAGCCCACAATGCTGTGGGTGGTAAATACAGGTGAATGTGTAGTGGCACCTAAAACCATTAATGAACCAGCGTTGCGCTAAAGAAAGCGGCAACATATACACGCAGTACAGAGTCCATGTGCTGGTGTCGAGTGGAGAGGATAGTTGCTAAAAATCACACTGTCGCTGGGATGTTAAATAAAAATTTCATGGTGCAGACAGGTACCCGAGTTAATCATCGTTATAATTGGCTAAAGGAACCCAAACCGTTCTAAAATTCACCCCTTGTCGTTCTGTGCTGCCTGCCGACTCATTGTGTTTCTGTGTGTGAAAGCCTGCAGGTCGTCTAGGTATGCGTGCCTCAGGACTTCAAGGAATGTTGTGTGTGTGGAGGTTCGGATGCAGTTCTGAGTGGGTGTGTTCGTATGTGTGTGTGTGTAAGTGTGTGTGTGGAAAAGAGATGAATCTGAGGAGGAAGCTGTTTATCACCAGCAGGGTAGCTACAGAGGGAAGTTTAATCCCCAGAGGGGTGGTCGTAACAGCAATCAGAGACAGTGGTCCTCACTAGACCACTTACAGCCACTCGTTTGTTGGACTTGAGGAGGTCAAGGTCACATGTCATGTGACTGTCCTTCCCAGTCAGATGGCCCAGATAACAGAGACCCCAATAAGGGTCCCCAAAAGAGGCAGGGGTTTCCAAACACAGAGCCGACCTAGCCGTGAGCCTGTCAATCATCAGACTGCCTGTTAAATCTTCTAGGCAGAGACCTCATGTCAGTGTTAAAAATCTCTATTATCCCCATAAAAGATGACATGAGAGCTGTTCGTGTGGCTAAATGATTGCTTTTATCTCCATGAGTGTGTGACTGCTGTTACAGTTTTTTTCGATTGCTAAAACACGTTTTTCAAAACTGTACGTTTCTTTCAAAACTGCACACACAAAACCCCAAACATAACACACAAATTGCTAAACCGTGGCTTCCCTTTGCAACAAAACCCTGCCATCACATATCGTAACATGTTCCCAAAATGGAACACGTTTTCATTTGGTAAACACAGCCACATTTTCACATGACACACACATACCATTCATTGCTTAAACACAAGTAGCCTTTGGGTGAACACTACCAAGCATGGAAAGAACACTGAAGAGCAAAACTGAAAACACAATTGTCTAAATGGAACACAATGAATTACACACTGAATGTATGACAGTGCTCACTTTTCTCTGAGACAAACATTAGACATCACACAAATTTTGAGACAAAACATTTTATTTTTACAGTCCCCCCCCCCCCCCCCCCCACCCCCCAACCCCACCCCGGCCACCCCCACCCCACAGAATTTGAGACAAAACATTTTATTTTTACAGGTACCCCTCCTCACCCCCCACCGCCCACCTCCACCCCACCCCCCCTCACCCCCGGCCACCCCACTCCACAAATTTTGAGACAAAACATTTTATTTTTACAGTTACCCCTCCTCACTCCACACCCCCCACCCCACCCCACCCCACCCCCGGCCACCCCACCCCACAAATTTTGAGACAAAACATTTTATTTTTACAGTTACAGTAACCACCTCCACCCCCTCTCCCATTCAAGCATAATCATGGGGCATCATGCCTCCGGTCTCTGTCTGGCCAGAGGGCCTCATCAACATCACAGGCGATGTCCTCCTGGTCCAAACAGCGGTGGAAGTACCACCTCGAATGCCTCATGAAGCCCTGACAG